TAAAGCCATCCTTTGCAAGTGACCTACATTTTAGTCATACAGCTGCCGTCATAAATTGACACTTGGTTTTGACTTCAATATATCTCCAATGTTTGGTTGCATATCTTTCACTCTGTGCCAGCGATAGAAAGTTAATGCTTTAAATTGTGGATGGAGCCGGCTGTGCCACTTTGTGAATGTGAAGATAGAAGGTGGGGAGGTACTGTATGATTTCTTCATTATGACGTTAGAAAGCAAGCAAGAGGGATGTATAATTCATTTAACCTGGAATCATTTCATGTTAATAACTACAACATTTCCATTAGTTGACAGTCTGATTAATTTTCTACACTTGCATCGTGTGGCCTTGCCATGTACATGTATACAAATGTACATGAATGCATGATGGGTGGATTTTTATCAAGATGTCTATTACAAGTTCCTAGTATGGACCACAGAGCAAGGACAGACAGACAGACAGACAGCCCGACCGACAGACAGACAGACAGACAGACAGACAGACAGACTCTGTTACATGCATCTTGACTACATTGTGATGGATGTCTTAAAACACTTGGAGCCATTTCTTGACTGCTTACTCTCTAAACGTGAGCTATGTCAATTTTGAGTTATGTCTGGCAGCAGACTTCGCTGATGTTGTTTTGACAAGTTTCATTGTCCATGCTGTGTGCATACAAGTAATGTCAAATCATGTCAAAATGGCTTCCAAATGATCCTTTCAAATCATCAACAGTGAAGTACTTTATTTTTGGGAGGAAGTCTTAGAAGATACCAAATTCCACCTTTTTGTTTTGAACCACTCGCACTCCCAATCTAATTTCTGAACATTTGAAGTAAAGTCAGGAATTTTCTTCAGCCACACAATGTTTATTATTTTGAAAAATGATCTAGACCTACTTTATGTTTAAGGAGCATCCATTGTGCGCATAAATGACTTCATTGGGTCACGTCCCAGCTCATTGTATTGTTCATGGATGGGATTAAGTTTCCATCTTCCACCCTCAATAAAAGAAGACATTGGAGATGGAAACTTGAGTGTTTAAACACCTGGAAGTATACAGTTTCTTGGCTTGCTTTCAAGAACACCTGTGCAAAGGTGCTATTGATTGGGGATACATTCACGATCAGGTTCAAAGTATATAGCACCTGTGCCAGTGACTATACACTAAAATATTACACTATGAATATTCAACCATAAATATTACCTTCTTAAAATATTAAAACCACAATACACTTAAACATGTACTGTACATACATGTACCTAGTCCTTTGAATGCATGACAGTAAAGAAGGGCTCAAATTTCTCTGAAGTAATCAATGCAGAACCTACATGTACATTGAACTACATGTTTATCAGCAGCAACTTTCTATTTTCACAGCTGAAGCTTTAATCATGGAGCAAGTATGTGTTGGCTACATGTATGTTATTTTAGTCCACATTTTAAGACTTTTACAGAGTGAAATTTGGTAAAAACAGGAGCACATCTGTGTAAGGCTGTGTTGATAGTGATTGACAGGATCAGGTAAGTAATTCCACATGTCTGTTAGGAAGGAGACACAGATGGGGCTAGCTAGCTTGGCTCAAGCATAGTAGGCATGAAGTAAAGCTACATGTATAAACATGCTAGCTTAGTACTTGGAAATACATGTTTCATATCCTTGGTGTTTTCTCAACCTGGATTTTGTGAAATGTTACAATGTCACATCTGGGAGAAACAGGCTGAGGCATGGAAGATCAAGATGACTTTTGGTCTGGATTGACATACAATGTATTGACATGGATAGGAGACTTTTTTTCATAAATTGCAATGTTGGATTATAATATTAGTTATCCTATGAGCACGAGTGGAACACGGCCACTGATAATGCGGCTCAGGCCAAAATCAGTGGCCAGACCCCTTCAACCAGTCTTAAACATCACACTATTTCCCCTTAATCATATGTAATAGTTACAGTGGGTGAAATGTTTTGGAAAAGGAAGTCCGAATCTTGTAACACAATAAAAGGAGCTCTGACTGCATAGCAAACTGTATGGGGACCATGGATGGATAACTGCAGCAATGGATACAAGGCTACCATTGACTATCACTCTTATACTATGCTACACCTTAACATCAGCATCTAGGCAAGCATTGATGAAAGACCTCATTCCAGCTTACAAATAATTGGCAGTTTTGCCCTTCACCGACGTTTATTTAGAAAGCAGGAGGTCGTGGGTTCGAGTCCCACCCGAGTGATTTTTTTCCAACTTTCACTCATTTTTCCCCCCCAACTTTCACTCGGGAGGTAACACACTGAGTATACAGTGTTTAAACGTTGGTGAAAGGCAAAACCTAATTTGATTTATATCACCCCGATGCATAAATTCCATCTTATTAAATTGGCACTTTGTTTCAATTGAGTTCATAGTAACAAAAGTGAACAGTTCAGACATAGGCCTACCTATAAATAATGCTTTCTGTTGTTAAGGAAGCTTCAACTTTCTGTTGATGAAGTAAAATGGATGACTCAGTAACATCAAATTGGTTACCATAGCAATAGTATTACTCATTCATTGTCTTTCATGATTGATAGGGTCTCATCTTTTTTATCTTGTGCATATTCAATGTACCTGGAGAATATCTGCGTTACGTGAACATTGTCAATGATGACATGTTTTAGTATATCTTGATATTCTGTATATCTTTTTAAAGTTCTCCAAATTGATATTGGCCTTTCAAACGGCATTTATACTGGATCTGGCAGAGGGCACTGCAATCAGGTCTTGTTGAGTGAGTGAAGCAATAGCCGGTCCCATGATTTTTTTTAGGAAGAATGGGAAGGATACCGGTAGCTGAGGTATTAAAAGTTCAGTATTTTTCAGAGAGTTTGGAGTTCAGGTTTTACGATATATACCCCCATCCCTTATCTGCCATTGTTAGTTCAATCATAAGCTTGGCACAATTTATTCTTTTGGCATAGGCCCTATTGTATAGTGAAAAACTTGCAAAATCAAAACTGTTCATGAGTTGTGTTGTCACATTGTGCTGTCCAGAGTAAATTGATAATTGTCCAAACAAACATACAGCAAATGTATGAACAGGATCTACATGTACCCTATCAACTGTGTACACATGTATGTTGGTGAATATAGAAATAAAAAATAAAGATTTGATGAAAACAGGGGTCGATTTAGAACTTTTTTTTTTCTTCTAAGCAACTTGTAAATTTCTACAAATTTATTATTGAGTTGAAATTGAAATTTGTTGGTGTTGCACCGGTACATGTACCAGTACATGTACTGGTAGTTCAATTTTATGAGAGATTCTCATTTTTGAAACAGTCAGAGGCTTCTTGCAATGCAATAGTCTGGTTCTGTCATCATGGTTCAAGGTGCTTGCAACACCAGCAATTGCATTGACACATGGTATAGGTTATATTCATTGCATCCTCAACCTATCTGATCATAAGCATGGCCAATGCATCATCCAGGGACTGTACCAATTCAAGCCCTTGACATTTACAGAGATTAAGGATGATACAGGATCTCCAAATAGAGTCCCAAGGATAGTGATGCTAGCCATTCAAGGACAATCAAAGTAACAAATAAACCAGAAAACCAGGTGCAGTTCCATTCTGAAATTCAATCAGGGCTAAAATAAGTTTACCAATGCAAAGAATGTTTGTGGACCTGATTTCACAGAAATGCGGTAGTTTTTTCTATTTACAATGTAAATAAGTTTACATCAACTTAAAGGTAATACAACATTTGCGTGAATAATAGTCTCAAGCATCCTGTGAAATCATGGCACCTGGTGTGCTGTCATTTAAAAAAAAAGTATCAATTTCCAAAGATGGTCAACGGACAATCGTTGGAAAAAACCTGACTTTATGAGCTGCCCCTAATTTACCAAATGTAGTTACATGTACTGGTATCGGTAGTCCACATTTTGTTTACAGTCAGTCCAGCTAGTCTGGTTCCCTGACCTGACGATTCACGAAATAAATTTTGACCCAGGAAAGTAATTCTGGTTCAAGTAGGATAGGAGTGTTTTGAAAATAGCTTTACAACCCTCTAACCTGTTTGTACACGAGAACAAAGCGATGTCTCTGCAAAGATACAGATTTTTGGATGTGTGTTACTGTGTTTGTTCCATTTTGGTTAGGTTAAAGGAACATTGTGTTCTGGAAAGCGCCCAATAACTCGTGAACGTTAGCTGGGTGAAAACCTTGTCTTTTTAGTGAACCCACAAGAAAAAGTAACATTTACTAACAGTCCACTAAGGTTTTTCATAATAATTTGGTAGTTTTGTTTTCTGATGTTTGCAAATGTTGTTTATTCCCTTTAAGTAACAGCAAAAAAATAACAACATATGTCTGCCCTTCATTGCCACCCAGGCGGTTTGGAAGAGAGAAATATATTTCCCACCAATTTTGTATTGAAATAGAAGTTCATATTAACTGTAAATCAAATGACAAGGATCTATATGCCAGTTACACTGTATATAAATATTGAGCTCAATAAAATCTTTTCCATTGCACTCGACTTCGCCTCGTAAAATAGAAAAGTTAAGATTTTACCTTGCGGTAATATTCCTCCCATTCCTCTCTAAGCCACTCATTATTTGTATACCATTGGATAGAGGACGACCTGGCCTTTTCACTTGTAGTTTTCTCTATCTGAAATAATCTGAACATGTCTGATATTTTACATTTAAGAAATTGGTATAATTTATGTTGAGACATCCTGTCTACACAATGTTTTCCAGAGTGCTTTGTTCATGCATCAGTTCTTGTTCATGTGTCATCATAGACAGAACTGTGATAACACTGCCCGTGTACCGGTAGTTTGAATTGCCCAATATGATCATCAAGTTGGTACCGGTAAGCTATGGACAACACAAATTTGCTGAGTGCAGAAGGATCAGTTTGACAAAAGTTGGTCATTAGTGACATTTTCTATGCCTTATACGTACATACACTCAAACTTACCTGAATGTCTTCTTTCTTTTTGTGTGCAGATTCAGAAGTGATGTCTTTGTTACCTTGAGAATGTGAAGTACTCCACGATGCTACCATATTGGCCTAAGATTATCCAGCAGTGGTTGTCAGCAGCTGTCTTCTGCTTAGTCTTTATGTCTTCATGCTGCGCACCCACTGAACCCTCTCTCATATTCTCCTATGATGACAGTAAGTCATTCTATCTTTGTGCTTTACATCACTCCTACCTAGTTAAATATCCATGATTGGATCAGCTTGACATAGTGGTCATGTCCTCATGTACATGCATGCCTTCCATCTCTGCTAACCCCATGTCATTCTGATCGGATTCACATTGCACTTTTTGTCACTCCTTGCTTCACCCTGTGTTTTTATAAGAATTGTTTTTTTTTAGTTCACACCTAAAAGTTAAATGTCATTATGTTCTCTCATCTCTCAATGTGATTTTGACAGATTTACTTTATTTTCTATTTATTAAATATTGCTCTCAGGGATGCTTGGTTCATGACCATAAAGAATTTTCATATACAAAGGGTGAAATAATGAAATATACATTCTTTTTTAATGGAAAAAAAGTTCACCTTTTTTATACACCACATAAAATATCCAATCATTTTGTGGAAAATTTTTTTTGTTGTTGTTAAACCTATCACCCAAGTTTGATAAATGCTCATCCTTGCCAAATTACATGTAGTGACTGTTCAATTTTTCTTACAAAGTACATGTACTAGGCCATCTAATTGAATGCCTGCAGACAATAGTTGAATAACCATGAGACACTCTTGAATTTGTATTATTTTGTAGGTACACCTTTCCCTAATGCCATTAAGTGTTTTACCTGCACGGATAAGAGGAGTAACAGGGAATGCAATGAGAGAGCCTATGATGCGTTCTGTCCTAAAGGTAAGTCAGTCAGTTGACCGTAGACTGCTTAAACATGCAACATGTGCACTCAAATGTCCATCAGCTGTGTGTATTTTATGTCATAAAGCAGAACTTAAGGACAATTACAACATGTACGAGTGATATGATAAGAAGCATGTATGAGTGCTTGGAGTCACTTGCTTTATGTGTGATAACTCTAAATACAGGATTCTGCATTGTGAAATACATGTTAGACTCCCACAGCTTTAGCTGAGCTTGGCCTGGTCTTATGGAGAACATTCAAATGCCTGTCAACGATGTTGTTAAAATACATGTAGTAGAATACTATTTAATGTTGCAAGTTCTTTATCTTTGACTCACTAGGAACCAAGTACTGCCATACATCCCATTACGTGAACCAGAAGACTAGAGAGAGTATATTAGTCAACAAGAAATGTGCTGAGATACAAGACTGTACAATGAACACTGTAGGCTGCACAGATACCAGCACTAAACATGTACAGGTGAGATTGTAATAAGGGGTGTGGCCTAGCTCATGGCAAGAATTGGGTGGGGCCCTAGTGCAGTAAGAAGCCATACTCTTGTTGTGTATGTACATGTTTGTATATATCAAGGTAAGTTGACATGTCACCTGTGGGGCTATATATGCTTCAGTAAAACACTGTGCTGTCTTTAAGCAAGACGATTTGCTGCTATTGCTACTCTCAAGCTTAAATGTACACTCCATCATTTGGCATTTGTGCATTATGTTTGTTTGAAGCAACAAAAGTGCTCAAAATCTAAAGAAAGATGCTTAACAACTCACCCTATGAAGTTTTAGCTCAGCAAATGCTGTATATTCTGAGAAAACACCATTCTAGGATCTTGATTTCAAATCAAAAGTTGCTGAGTCATGTTTTGAATTGCGCCCGAATTCGGCGTTCGGGACACATTTTCATCCAGCTGATTGCAGCTACATGATGACGTGCACTGAACCGACGAATTAAAGCAACTGCCCTTTGCAAAATTAAAAACAAACTACTAACAGAAATTTCCAATGAAAGATGCATCGTTGGAAGGCCTTCTTTCATTGTTTTCTTCAAAATGACAGCTTGTCAGAAATTTTTTTTTTTACAGAGAGTTTAGTCCCATCTTTAAACTAAGTATGCTTTTCAACAATAATTAGGTCAGTTACTTTTTAGATAGCTGCAAATGATGGACTGTAGGTTTAAAGCAAACTGGTAGTGATCAGAATACACTGAAATCTGGACCAATCCTTTAAAGCCCTACCCGCTGCACACATTGAGCAACATCATGTGGGCCTCTCTAACATCATACTGCAAGTGCATTTTGTACACGCATTAATTACAGCAGTGATTGGTCAAGTCTTCATAGGGTAGAGCTTATTGGATCTTCTATTGAAGCTTGGAATCTCACTAAGAGTACAATGAATGTACAGGGCTTTCCAACCATTACCATTAGTTTTCTCTTTTTTCCCATGCAGAGGTGTGTATCATGCTGTGAAGGAACACAATGTAACTTCTGGTCACCACATAACTCCACCACAGCGATCTTCAGCACCTTGACACCACTGAACACTGCGCCACTCCAGAGAATACCCAATGTCATATTAATAGTAGGACTATCAATCACTACAAGACTTCTCAGGCTAGTTACGTAACATCAGCTTAACCTTGTAAATATTGGATGTACATTTGAAATGTTTTTGTTTTCCTAGTGAAACATTGTCTAGATGTGTGAAATGTTGGGAGGTTTTATAATTGTTGAAATTGTTGAAATGGGTGAGTCACGTATCACCAATGCACATTTGATAGAATTATTACAATGAGGTTTTGGATTGTGAATAAATGAATGGGTGCATTATCTACCTAACAATTGTTGACTGCTTTGATGTGGGATATGACGTCTCAAACACCCGAGGCGAAGCACCCGAGGGTGTTGAAAACGTCATATCCCACATCACAGCAGTCAACAATTGTTTTGTTATACCTCTGTCTTGGATTCTTTGGATTTTGATGCAAGCATGACGAAAACAAACAGCAGTAAATACAACAATCATGACAATGGAACGTCAACTCACATGCATGTCGCGTACCGAGCTCGAAACAGCTGAGCCTCTATTACTTCGCTGCTCCCACTCATGTGTGAAAACACGGTGAAAATAGCGTGGGTACCAACGATACAGGTGTTTCACACTGTAAGTACAAAGTCAAAGTACGTGATATCCCACAGGGAGTGTGCCATGACTTTTTATAAACTTAACGTGATCGTTCTAGGCCAATAAAAATACAGTATACAAGACAGAGGTATGACAAATATATTCATATGTTGATGGTAGCAGAATTTATCCCTGAAAATGTCACCTTCCTTTTTGTATACAGTGTCCCGCTTTGTGGATTGCTTGTTTGCAGATTTTGCAGATGTAACATGTTCATCATTTTGACAATTGGCAAGTATCAGACATGTGTGACTTGTAAAACTAGCAACAAAAGTCAACAACAAGATTTCAGATATGCAAAGAAGCTGTCAGTATCAGGTTGTGATTTATTAAAAGAATCAAGAGTCAATTTTTTGTAATTTACAGATAACAAGTTGTAAATTTTGTACATTTATATATTTCATGATGTGTCTATACAAACAGTATGTACATTAAACCACCGTGTACAGATACATGTATGAGTTGTGCTTAATGCATTTGCATGATCTGTATCTGCATATATGCATATTAATAGATAAAATTAAGTTAAATTTTTACACGTACCGGTGTTAGGATTGTACCACTGTAATGTGATTTAACCTACAATTAGTCATGAACAAAACTTGAATATTAATGAACCATATTCAGGTTCGTTTTACCACCTTATAGTTACTGTCCTACAGTAACTAAGTCCTACATATCAAGCGTTTGACGTTATTAATAATTCTTTTGTTAGAAAATGTTAAATTTATGCTAAAAAGAATTAAAAGCACCTTGAGCCATAAAAAATTAACTTCCATTTCATTTTAATCATATAGATTTTACATTTGAATGCTCGTTTCAACTTAACTGCAAAATGAAGTATTACTGAATATAGAAATGACTGCACATGATATGATTGTTGAATTACCCATTAGACGTACAAATGATGCACATAGTGATTGGATATGAAGGCAATAGTATACATGTATGTCTTTACATCCCTTGTGCAGTTGGCATAGAACATGTAGAAACAAACAAGGACCAGTGTCTGAATAATGTATCATTGTGTTTTCGTCAAACTTGTCAAAGTATCACTTTCAAGTTAACCAAATCACAGCAAGTACTTAACTCGATAAAATCTATGAATTACTTAGCTGCGGCTGGCAATGACATATGAGACTACAGAAGCCGCTGACTGCACTTCCCATTCAGGCATGTGTTGGTGCCAGCCTTAGCCAGTCATTCAGACCCAGTCATATTTGCATGCGTCACTTGATGTGTGGCAAGTTGCAAGATGCCAATGACATGTACCCCAATGACCATGATTGGTTGTATTGGGAAAGTATTGATAATGTGGGAAGCAATAGACGGTTTTCTTTGCCAAGTTCTTAGACAATGCACTATAGACCAACAATTCTAAAAAGAAACACTCTGAAGGTGCTATTTTATTTCTTTCACTTTTTGCCAAACAAAAAAGCCTAGATACTAAACTAGCTGACGTGAATGTTTTTGTAACCAATAGATGAGTTTAACACACTGAATGAAGTGTGCATTCAGTTGTAACATTGCTTGCTTGCGCAGTAAACATACATGTATACTTGAATAGTTTACATTCATCATGTAAGTTAACTAATGAAGTTAGAAGTCTTCCAATTTTTTACGATGAGAAACCCTTTATTTCTGAATTAGTGCCACTTGATTAAAAAGACATTTCCGTGGCTATGAAAATGTTGAAAGTTGGAAAAAAAATAACTGTAAGTCTGGGCAAATGGCCAAATATCTAAGCATACTGATGCAGGTTCCTTGATGATCAAGACCTGTCATATTATAACTGATGAATACAAATCAGCAATGCTACTCATACATTAATATGAAGATTTGTTGGAACGTATTTTCCACCATGATAACTATTATAACATTTGCTCATTAGAAAATGTTTTATCAAATAAATTTAAATGAAATTGCATTATACATACATTATTTTGCCATTTAAAAGACCACCTTTTAGAACTTTCTAAAGCATAAAATAATTTATATTTCAATCACTGCTGATGCTCATGGGCCTCAAAAAGGCAATATTTACAAAATGACTATTTATTCAACAAGTGTTTTAAGTTAACTTATGCTTTGTAAAAACCACCACACCTTTCTGTACAGTGTTTGTTCTTTTGTATCTATATTTCATATCAACACACTTTTATGTATATATGTCTTGGGTTTCAGATTAGAGAATAAAATGTTTACTTGATCGGAAACTCTGCTTTCTTGAACTGTTTCTGTTTGTGATTTGTATACATTTAACATTAATTTTGATTTGACGCAAGTTGAAGCATATGAAACTGTTGCTATACACATAGAAGCTGAACTGTTTAATAAAAAAAATAAAGCAATTGCACGACACCCCTTCCATCGAAACTTTTATAACTATAAAAGATAAGCATTTGTACCTCAAGATGAATATGAATCTTTCTACAAAAAAACACTAGCTAAATGTGTTGATGAAGGTAAAGGTATGATTGCTGAAACCTGTGACAGCCAGTTATAACTGACAATTTATGATCATAATATATATCTCAGGCTGACATTTACTTCAAACTTGCCAAAGCAAGCTGACTCGGCCTGCACATACAATTTGGCAGAAAATGACAATTCTGTATTCTTTGCAGTCCTTTTGCCTGTATTACTATTACAATTTGTACTGGTTATTCCAAACGGAAGAAGGTTGTTGGGAATCCTGGATGTTTAACAAAACGTCACGCTGACTATCACCGAAGCAATGGTTGCCTGGTCAGAATACAAGAACATTCAAAAGCAAGGAACCTCTGTTGGGCAGTTGGCGAACAAAGCGTACTGGTGTGAAGCCACAGTGAGAACAAGTCATCACTTCATAAAACCACTTGGCGAGTAATTTTAGTGATGTGCACAAAAACGATGCTTAGACGATGAGCATGGCAGTGAACATACATTTGTATCATGCACACTTCTTGACTGACTCATGCTGTCATCATCTAAGCTTGGTACTTGTTGAAGTCTATGTGTTTATGAGTGGATCTTATGTTCATTTCAAATAGGTGGACAATACGAATATGTATCCTAGTGAAAGACAGACATGTTGGGCTTTAGAGTAACGCTTGCTGGATGGTAGAGAATGATTTCAAGCGCTGATATGTCTGTTAGAGGAAATAGATAACGAAACCCCATGCTGACTGGGCAGTTGATGCTATTGGCATAGGTCAATGCCCAGTTCCTCAAGACACTTGTAATGTTTACTGACATACCAAGACAAACCAACTTTCCAACACGCTTCAATCTATTGATGTGGATGTCAATAAGGCAGCTGAACTATTCTCATCTCACAGCTATAAGACAATCTCCTCTGGAATGACGCACAAACCATAGAAGAAGAGCAGGGCTTGGATATCCTTTACATGGACCATCTGACCTACATTGAATCCATTGAGTTGTCAAAGAAAGGGAAAACGCTGATTACCTGAGTATTTAGAGAAGGATATCATGCTAGAAGCTACTGCCACATGTAGTTAAGGCGAGGCTCACACCATTGCAACAATCAAAGACAGTTCAGGCTCAATTAGCATATCGCATTCTGGTAGACTGATATCAGAAATGAAAAGGCGCTTCGATTATGATTCTTGCGTAATTATGAAATCGTACAGTCACTCAATCCTCAAAGTCAGTGCTTCTTAGATTTTGGAAAAAATGCCGGGACTGGTTATGACCACAGCAGGAACTGCCAATATGGCAGGTCTAAGACATTTGTTATTCAACAAAGCGCGTTCTCAAATGCTGCAGTGAAGATGGGAGGAAACTACTGCAAGTTCATCATTTCACTGGAACCATTTGCAGAGGGTTTTCAGGACCCATACAGGCTTTGATCAAATTGCAGTAGTCTTCCCTGTATCCTCTCCCTTTTGTGAGTTTTTCAAAATGAAATTCATCAAAGCAGCAGTTAGAAACTCCATGGCTATCAGCAGACTAAGCAACCTGGCAGTTCCAGCCAGTAAGTTCTAGCCAGCAATTTCGTAGATATAGAATTGGTCTTGTGCAATCGAGCAAGTTCTGTACGTTACTAGTATTTCCTGTCATTTATCCAGTTGTGAAGGGATAAATAGAGGGGCTTTATACTGGACATAAATGCCCAGAATGTTTGAGACCAAACAGACCACCGAAGGCTCCCTACCATAAGATGCTGATTCCACCACCCCAGCCCCTGGCTCCCATACTCAAAAATCCTTGAAGTGCCACTGTCATCAATTGTAAGTTTTACACCAATAACTACATGATGTAGTAGGGGTGGATCCTGTATCATCACTTTGTTTTGTCCTTAGTTCAGTCTTATTTAGATCATTGAAGTTGAGCCACTTTCATAGGGCATGATGCAGACAATGTTAGGAAGAATGGCCCCTCTTGTCCTGGAGCAAATGTTGTGGGTCGGATGTTATATGTTCCTCCTGGTAGATCCTCCAGCTGAACCACAGTGAAACCCCGTCTACAAAACCAAGAAATTAACAATAATTTACAGGAAGATGTATTATTTACCATAACCCCAAGCAATTGTTTTGCTAGGAACTTTATAAAATATGCAACAAAATCCCCCCTGTGCAGTCAACCTACTATGTGCATTCTTTGTACTTCAACAACACCAAGATATTACAAGTAACAGTGCTAAGGCAGTAGATTCTGGAAGCTATGCACATACAAAAGTGGTAATCTGATGGGTTGAAACTTGGTATGTCCGTAGAACATGTATTGTAAATACTAATAATAGCGTGAGATCACAATGATGTCATCAGGTGAGATTCTTTCAAACCATAATATTCAACATTTTTTGGTTGACATCTTAAGAACAATCAAAACTGAATTCAAAATTCTTTCAATACCATTGGTATGTCATAATCATATATGAATTCTTTAGAAAAGCACAAAATTTGCTACTAGCTACATAAAACGGTACATGCCTGTAATCGCCACTCATTTGTTTGTTGAATGATGCCGTGCCTGGACCATCTGAGGCAATTGCAACAATCTCAAAGCCAACATGGAACTCCCTACAGGAATAGAAATCACATGCCACAGTATTAACACATGCTTGGATTCAAGATGAAATGGGGGTTGGGTGTGGGGGTGGGGGTGGGGGTGTGGTTGGGGGGGTCGGGGTTTGCGGGGTACTTGTGTTCAGAGTCCATAGATAATGAATATGCAGCACTATCACAGTTAAGCTGGATTAAACCCTTCACCAATGTAATTTGTAAGCACTGTTTACAAAGCACTGTCTACAATTCACATGCTTGCTTGGGTGGGAGTGGAACCCACCACCTCCTGTTTACTAGTGCAGGTGTCTTGACCACTCAACCACCAATCTTTCAAGGGTCAACAGTGAATCTGATATCTGTGGTGGGTACTGCAACTAACGAGACTTAAGAAAGTACATTTTTCTCAGTAGTTCTTAGACAACACAGAGTATACGGTGCATTGGTGAAGGACAAACATTAATTGACCTCTCCCTGACATAAACATTCCCTTCCTGTTGCAGATATAACATCTGAACTATCCAGCTGACCCAAACCAGTTGATCACATTACATTGGGCAATTAGTATACAAATATAAAATGATTTGAGGGTGGACAATCGATATTAACTTCACCTCGGGAACTAGTTTGTCAACTTCCAATACCAAGGGGAGCTAATATCGACTGTCCACCCGAAATAAACCATGTTATATTTGTTTTACTATACCTCATACATATTCAGTTGCCGAATGCACCTCGCGGGAATAAAATCTTCAGATAAATTTGTCCAGCTCTCAAGAAGAATATTTTTGCTCAATCTCAGAAAAGTTCAATTAGTTCACAATACAGTATCTTACTCCTTAGAGTTTATGTCGAATTGTGGACAACTTTTTTTGAGTAGGTGAGGCATCTTTATTGTCCACAATATTCTCCAGTTAACTTCTCCATTATTAAACTCAGGAAGACGCTAATTAACATGTAAGTGTTCAACCATCTTTTCATGTGTAGCGCTGGGGCGATGTTTGCACGTGCTACTACACCTGTGCGACAGTTCCACGATTGCTTCGTAAAGCGCATGCGTAGTAGACTGTTGCACAGGCAACCCATGTGACTACGCATGCATATTTACCCTGTGTGTGAATACTTGCGCAAGCTTTGTAAACAGCAAAAATAGCATCTGGCACATGATGGTAAATGGACCAGTAAGAAAGCTGCTCTTGATCATGAATACGTATAAGGTATAGTAATTTCATATAGTACGAGTCCATGTTGCATGTTATACAAATAATGCATGTTTATGAGTGCAATGGAAGGAATATTTTCATGAGGTGAAAGACTGAATGTTCCATTCAACGAGACGTAGCTGAGTTGAACGGAACAGTCAATCTTTCACCTCATGAAAATATTCCTTCCATTGCATGCATAAAAAATCAGTCATTATTTGTTTCATACAACACCTAAATAGATCCTTGTCATTTGATATTTTATGGAAAAAAAAAATTACTTAGGCTTAACGCCAATTTTACTCCATTTCCATGGCCACCACAACAGTCAACACATTATAAATGCAACACGTAGTAAAAGTTCCAATCCAAACAGCTGTAAACCTAACAAGTTCAGGGTTCAAGTCCAAAACTGTTCAAATACAGTCTATAACTTAATAACTGGTCAAAGACTTTACCTGTCCAAACACTGTTTGTTGTTGTTCGAATCAAGGTTCATGTCAATTAAAGGTTGCGATCGACACAGTGTCAGTACAGTCGGTCATGTACTGTGAACGCGTAATACTGCAATCTCAAAGCAATAGTAAAGTTCATGCTCCGCAATCGATATCAAGGCAATAGAGCAAAATGAATGGAACCAAAATGCATGGTAAATGGAACCAAATTGGACGATGTATGACATAAATCATACAATGGAATATTTGTCAATGAAATGAAGCAATGATTCAATGTCATGTGACTAAATTCCACCAATCAAATGAAAAGGATCTAGTTAGGTGTTATATATAAATGCTTTAGGTATCAAACTCTAGATTAAGTTTGCAAATGCCTTAACAAAACCTTCTTGCATTTTGGCTGCTTGAGGCATAGTTAAAAATAACCCCCATATGGATGTGTAATTTGAAGCACACAACACAATAACCATTGACATTACTTCATTTGCATATGACCCCTGACCCCAATTCCTGACCTTGGTCCCTTGAGGTCAACCATGAAGTAGTTTCCTTTTGTCTTGTCCAGTAAGGTCACCTGGTAGATGGGGTTGTTGACAAATGATGCTCGGTTATTGGCACATCCCCCAGCAGTCCTACCCTTCCACTCGCCTGTGATCTGAAATATTCAACAGTCAAACAAAAGCAAGTCATATTAAAGTATAGACCAGCACAACCATAAGGGCATTACTAAGGTTCAATAAACAACGAGGGAGGCATGTAATGATTTGAATCCCCTCACTGTAAATTACAATGTAATTGACGGCGGGCCGTCACCATGTTTGGGGGAAGTTTTTTATTGTTAGGAAACTTAAGACAGAGTTATGGGGGGGGGGGGGGGTGGGTTAACAGCAACCCAGCCTGAAAGCCATTTGACCCATTTTTAAAGTTGTTAATACAGGATGGACGGCTCTTCTAGCTGGTGCTCATTGTTATGGTTTGCTTAGGGTAGGCAGAAAACTGTCACATGAATATAAATGATCTGATAATCATAACGTTGAACTGCCTAGAGTGTGTGTATTTTGAGCAAAGTCCTGCTGTGTAAGAGGCTATATCTGTAAGAAGTAAACTACTGTTAACTACGATTTATTGTCTGTGGTATTTATTCAGACGTTCTCAGACTACATGTAGCTGGCATAGAGCCTCTGCCACATACGGCCTCCTCTGGATTGGTCTGTATTATCATTAGTTATTACTAGCATCGTTAACATGACTGACAATTAACTGATACAGTTCAGCTCAGGATGCAGCATGATGACATTGGTTGACTGACCTGTTTGGTATTAGTGTATGGCTCTGGCATCTTGCTCAGCTTAAACTCACAGGTACTGTACACCTATAAACATTAAGATAGAAATCATAACAGAGAATGAGAAATAATCCTGATACCTTCTTGCAATAATTGCCCCAGAGATGAGCGCTTGGCAGTTATTCCTTGCATTCTCACACTGACATCAAGCCAGCAGATAAAGGTTCAGCAGCTGTGCTCATCAATGAGGCCTACCTCCAGTTGGATAATACTAACTACATGTACATCTACCTTGAATCTGACCAGGTACATTCACATACAAGCATACAGCAAATGCTGCATGTTGTGCGTATTCATACGACAAGCTGCCTATTAGACAGCTCATGAATGTCGTTATCCCACTGCCTGTAAACCATCAGATTTCATTTGGCCACAATTCACAAGGCTGGCAACCCTGATAGACCCCTCATCTATGGTAATGGCTTCCGCTTTCCCTGATTTTGACAAACCAACAAGTTCATATGGGAACATATATGCAGGTATCAGGCCAATACAATCTGCGAAAACTCTGACACTTTTGAATTTACCAACTACATTTGAGTGATCACTAAACAACACACAAAAAATGAAATAAATCCATATGTACTTTTCAAACATTTCCAAACTGGTTATAAAATGTCAACATAGACTTGTTGTGTGTATTTAGTTCAATATCTTGAGACTATTGATTAAGCAGTCATGCAACTTGGAAAAAAGGAAAAACAAGGAAACTTCAATCTTTACAAGACTTTGTACAGTGATTTTCAATTTTGAATGGCATGAGTGTGCAGTGAAAAACGAGGAAGTCAGCTGATCCGAGAAAAAGTTGCATGCCTGATTAAGGGTTACAGTCTAATAATTTTTTTGTTATACCGGTATAAATGGACTGTGTAGTTTCTTGATTAGGGGCTTTTGTTCTGTGGAGGCAAGAATGGTTTTCAGGATTCAAACATGAGACGCAGCATAGAAGACTCCAGGGATGTTGGGATGGCACCTTGGGGCGCTGTGGTCCAATGGTTAAGGTGATGGACTTGTGTGCCGTGGTACATGGGTTCGAACCCCGACAGGAAACATGGTGCTTGTGCTCTTGGGTAAGGTACTTTACTTCAATTGCCTCTCTCCACCCAGGAGTATAAATGGGTACCTGTGAAGGTATATAGAGACCAAAATGCGCTGATCTCGAGCTGCTGTAGAAAAAATTGGCGTCATTCCTGATGAACAGGGATAATAATTGTGATGCGCATTTGACCATATTCATATGGAATTTGAGCAATATAAATGTATAAATAAATTATTATTATACTACTGTCATCTTCTAATTCTTTTTTAGAAGTAACTACCTACCACTTGCAATGGACTGAAATAGGGTCAAATCCAAAGCAAGAAACAATCTGCTATGCTGAACCCATTAGCACCTGTACTACATTGTACTACATTGTATTACATTGTGTTTATTCACTGATGAATACATCAAACCCAAGAGTGCTTGGGTGTTTCAGGTGATACCAGGACTAACAGGCAAGGTGGTACATGGGTGGTACAGGAACTAACAGGCAAGGTGGTACATGGGTGGTACAGGCACTAATAGGTTCAACTGTCAGGCCTTACCAACCTTGTGACCGTCTGCATGGACCTTACCCTGAGTGAATAGCGAATGGTGTTGCTCTTCTCAAACTGAGACACTACAATTGTATACACGCTCTTGTCTTGAATCAGCATCTTGCAGAGATAATGAGGACTGTTGATTCTTGTACCATCAATGTATGGTGGAGGGTCATCTACAGATTTAGAATAAAAAATCAGAACATCACCCAATTGCAATGAACTTCAACACTACTTTATTTGTCAGGTTGAAACTGTTGCAGTGAACAAAGGGTGAATAAGAGCCCATGCAGCAAGCAGTGCATAAAATTGAAAACATGACATAAATAGATATCCCAAGGCATACTGTGCCTCAACAAATAGATGCACATATACAGCCTCCTCTATGCCTGATGTACTATGACCTACTGCATTGAGCTATCTAATTATGATCCAGTTAGACAGAAAGTCAAAATTATTGTAAGAAAATGCTGCATCTGGTACATAGATTTGGAATCACTGATCCATTTCTCTGCATTGTACATTGAGAGAAAAAACAAACAGGCAAGATATGGTGCTACCTACGAGATAAATGACCCATTCCATCCTCTCATTGATATTGAAAGCCGAGTAATTTAGTAGGGCTGCAACTGAACAAACGAACCTAGCTACATGAACAACTTATTGGATTGTTTTTTTTTTCTTCAGTTGAGCATATTTAGCAAAAGTGCCATTCCACGGCATAAATGCATCCATGGTACATGCAATATCAGCACAGTTTGCCCAATTTCCATTTGATGCATTTATTAAGGGAATAAATGTGTGCTCGAGAACTTTTAATCACTCTGTTTAAGACCGCTTAGAGTCTGGGTGCTGATAATTACCCGAGCTGGAGGCGAGGGTAATTATCAGCACCCAGACTCTAAGCGGTCTTAAACGGAGTGATAAATACCGACGGAGCACATATTTATTCCCATTCATAAATACCTTTTCGGTCAAAAAACATAATATTTCGGTCAAAAAATCCCGATTTTGTTCAACAAGTTTACTTCATGCTTTTTGAAACATCCCTCTAGCTAAATAATGGAGTGTTCAGCTGGCGATTAAGATGTAAACAACCCTTTTATGGAGATTGACGCGAGCATGGGACGTTCTGAGCGATGTTGCGCAGAACGCACCTGGAGCGTTGCGTTTTGAATTTAGAACTATAAAATTCTGACTCTGACATGTTGCGCATGCCTACGTGTGGTCTGTGAACGTTCAACCAATAAAACGGAAAGAGGCACTGGATTTTTAGGAGTCCACATTTTATGTGACACTGAAAAAGTGTTTAAGACCAGCTAGCCATGTCTTTATCATCCGTTTAAGACCGGCCATGTGACAGACTCTTGACCAATAGGAATGGCTAAACTGTCTGAGGTATTTATGAATACACAATACAATGAGGTCCCAGATTTTCAATAGTGAAGATAATAACATGTGTTGACAATTAACAGATGCATCCCCACAGTAAACACCTTTGCTGTCATGTTGCTGCTGAAAACAAATCAAACCCATTGTTAGGAGAAACATTTAGCACTGTAATCCAGGTTACATGTACTGCTACATGTTATTACTAGGATGTATCAGTTGAGCAAGTATCCCAAATAGAATCATTGTCCACAGAGAGAAAACTTCTGGCAACTATTGGGCATACACTCTGGTTATTAACCCTCCTGCTGTCTGAGTAGTCACAGACAGTCAAAAAAACATCAATCCTCTTCCCTGCCATGCCTTCTACACAGGCTAGTCACCAACAGTCAGATCATATTTCACACAAGCACTGTGACTAGTCAAATTCAGTCAACAGACAAAATCAGGCAAGTGGTTGGCACAACTGGCTTATCGGTCAAAGCATAGCTGTATCAAATTACATTAACAGCCACAGCCAGTCAATCCTGCATTATGTATGCTTGGAGCTCTTAACTGTTAAAAACAGTCACTTGATTGATTTTGACTGAAAGGACAACTTTGCACAGAAAGTATGTTTGAAAAGGAGGTTTAAAAGGTACAACAACTTTTGTAAATTGCCAAACAATACCATGCTAATGTTCAGTGAACATTCTGGAAAATTAGCAGACCTGCAAATTAAATGAGCCCCCCCCCCAATCCATAGTCTCTTATGAAATGGCCCAATAGTGCCCTTGGTAGCATGAGAATAATAGTCAATAGTCAATTGAATGTCAATAGTCAGGAGGTAAAAACTAGAGCTGATGCTCAAGTAGATGTTCATCATTAAACACCAGATAAGAATTCTTGCTCCATTGGTAGGATTTGCATGGTTCATTCACAGTCTGGTATCCTCTAGCCTAAGGTAAGACGAGTGGACTTACTGGGATAGTAGACCTTCTTGCCTCCTTTGTAGACCAGCAAGGTGATGAATTCCTTATTGTCTGCAAAGTCATCCTGATGGACCAAACAAACAAGTAACAAATTCAATTAATTACAACATTAATGCAGTGTACATGTATTGTAACTGTTTATACAAGTTTCTATTTGCAATTTAAATCAAACGACTCATCATGATTTCATGTAATCCTTGCACATCTGTATGTCAATGTCATTGTGCATGCATAAAACATCCCATACATGTTAACATGTGTTCAAATTAAAGCAAAAAAAGGAAAATCATTCCAAAAAAATCCCCAAAACAATGTAGATTTGCACATGAACCTTAGAGATTATACGACCATCTGACCAGAGCACTGTCTATAAAGCAATCACAACACAAGATTGACACATTCATGAATATGAGAGCAAGCCAGGAAATGCTGTCCTATCCTTGCTGCCAAATGTTTAAGAAAAGGATTGATGCATCAGCTTAATTGCTTTGAGCCATAGCAAACAACCATAACAACTAGTATGCAAATACAACCACTTTAGTGAGGCAGACATCCATTAATAATTGACAGGGGACTATATCCCGTCTTTTTGGTCAAGCATACGTTATTTGTTGATTTCCTTTAAGGCTTTAGTGTTCCTGCTAGCTACACATTGACAGACAGGTTGGGATATGCAGGGTCAACTTTCACATTTGCCTTTCATTGGCTCATAAGCACTCTACATAGCAATACTACGTGGGAGAAGAATCAACTGTAAGCTAATGAGTGGTGTGTGATGCCAATTATCCAGTCATGCACTTGAGCTCCTGAGGTAAGACTGGATACATTTCCAGAGGATATGGTGCTTTCTTGAAGTCACTACTTGTGCTTCACTGTTTGAGGTATGGGTGGCACAACAGTAAATAGCACAATCTATACCACTGTCTGGACTGATACTGAAATGACAGTGCAACCATTTCAAGTTTACACACATTACTACCAGAGGCAGATCATTGCAGCTCTATGTATCACTGCGACTTGTCTAGGCATCGTTGGCAACGGTCTGGTCATCATTGCTGTGGTAGTCTCCAAGAAACTCCGGACAATCACCAATGTCTTTGTGGTGAATCTTAGCATCAGTGACTTACTGGCATGTAGCTTCCTACCATGGCAGGCAGTGGCAGTATTGAGTGAGGCAGGTTGGCCATTGCATGGGGCAGACTGGCTATGCGTCATTAGTGCTGCATTCATGTTTATTAGTAATGGCTGCAGCACCACTAATCTAGCCCTGATTGCACTCAATAGATGGATTGGCATCACTAAATCAGTCAGTACAACCAGACGCATCTACACCCGCTGCAGCATTGCCGGCATGGTACTATTCTCATGGATAATGCCCATCTGTTTAACAGTGATACCAACCACCATTGGTTTTGGCCAGCTAGGGTATGAACCCAAGTACAGCACTTGTAGTTGGCTCAAGGATGTTCCTATGTCATACATTATGAATATCCTCATACCTATTTTTTATTTCCCAATCCAATTCTTGGTGATTTTACTGTGTTATGTGTCTATTTACCGATATGTTATCAAGTCATCCCGTAGAATGACGAGGCATGATATCAACAGCATTTCTGGTGCTACTGGTTGTGTGGATCGTGCTATGCAGAAGATGATATGGAAAAGACAGATTGCCGTCACTAAGAACCTTCTTCACATTGTCTTGGCCTTTGTTATCTTTGTCACGCCATCGTTCATTGCAATGATTCCCCTTGGGTATGACTGGAGCATACGCATGACACCCTATGCTGCTGCAATTGTCTTCTTCAGTAGTTGCATCAATCCCATCATATATGGCACATCTCATCCTGATTTCAAGGAAACATTTAGCCGTATGATATTCTGTAAAAAATGGAGGAATACTACTCAAACTGCCAATGTGTCACAACCAATGACACAAATGATGACTTAAATTTCTTTTATTGAAAGCAAATATACTTGGACAAAACCTGATCCTAGCACATAACTAGTGTGTAAATGACTTGTAAGTGAGTATTTGCCAACAGGTTTTGCATCATGTCAGCTTTAACATTATGCTGTGAGTGAAGTGAGGCCAACTAGTTCTTCAACTCTCCACAGACTTCAAAAACGGGCTGGGAGTCCAGAATGAGATGATTAGAAGCTGTTACGTTACATTTTCAGGGCGTCGTCTATCAACTCTGTGCTGTTATTCTATAAAGTCCAGGCATTCAGGGTGGATTTCTCTCACGCAAGATACCTTGAAGCATTGTTGTAGTCGAGTCACTCTAGTTGAGTCTGAGTCCAACTTTTAAGTCCGAGTCTCGAGTCTGAATCCAAGTCACAAGGAACAAGTGCATGGATATAAACACACCTACATGTTCATTTACATAATAATAATACAGAGTATTTATATAGCGCTATACCAAGATCACAGTGCCTAACATAAGGGGGAAAGCACAGAGGGGTCGGGACAACAGAGCAACTAACAATAACAACATTCGGGGGGGGGGGGGGGACAGGCAATTTAAAAGGGTTCTGGGAAATAGAAGGTCCTTGAAAGACCGCTTGAAAGTTGACACCGACTCCGCCTCTCTCAGATCAACAGGAAGCTCGTTCCAGAGACGTGGCGCTGCTACCTTGAAAGAGATATCCCCGGCTCTCTTGTTGGATCTTGGGAGAGAAAGTCGGGTATGATCAGAAGATGAGTGGATTCGGTGTCTGTGGGAAACTGAAGCATTGAGTAACAGTATTAAGGTCGGTCAAGTAGGACTGGGATAGAGCATAAAGGCACTTGTATATCAGGGTGAGAATTTTAAAGGAGATCCGCTGCTTCAAAGGGAGCCAGTAAAGCTCTACCGACAGGCCAGCCGAGCAGCTTCATTTGAAGGCACTGCAAGCGCTTAAGGTCTGAATCGCGTGCACCGAACAAGAGAGAGTTGGCATAGTCTAGACGGGACAGGACAAGACCTCTGACGGCTTGATGGCAGGCATCTTGTGTCGCAGCCGACATGTCTCTAGAGATCCAAGAATATCATGCCTGACCTTGAAAAGAGCGGTATCCGTACTATTGGTGTCTTTTGTATGATGACTGAAATTACTCACCCAGATTGTTGCTGTCCACATGGTCTATGACTTGATATATTACCTACATGTATGCATGTAGGTAATATGTAAATGATGTGCTGTCGCGGAATATAGAGATGGGCACACATTTATTTATTATAAGTTACTTTAACACACTGTACATAAAAATGTCTAGATACCATACATCCTGCAGATGACCTCAACTAAATAGGATGGAGGACAAAGCTGCACATTTACCGATCCATCTCAGAAAAAAAATTACAGCTGTGCTTTCTGAGGTAAAACTGCCACACGGTATGAGATTAAATACAAAGTAACAATTACACTAGGATCCAGAATTGTGTCTGAAGTGATTTTGCTTCGGACAAATGTCTCAGACATGAAAGATGGCAATGATATTTCAGACATATGTCACCTTTTCAGATATTTTCTGTGGACCTGTAAAAACCACTTACATTTCAAACACTCTGTTAACCTCAAATATCTGAAATATAAGCACATCATATCATCATGTCAGTCACCTGCACATGTCAGAAACTAACCTAGCCACGAGTATGTTTCAGATATATGGCTGAAACGGTGACCAAATGTCCGAAATTATAATTGCCATCACGTTTCAGACATAAAACATTTCTGGTTCATAGTGTACCGGGTATGTCTTGCATCCTATTAATGATCTATCAACTAGTGAGGGCAATCTATAATGGAGCAATATTCACTGCAATTTTGGGTAGTCAAGGTATGGACCGATAGCATGATGTGAGATTTAGTAATTCAAATAAGGCCATTTTATCTACACTGTTACCCAGCAGCCTCTGAAGTGCTTTTTGGATTGTATTTACTGTACAAGATTGCCACAGCTACCTTAGAGAGGCATAGTTAATTTTATATATCAACTATGCCCCTCATGGTGTTCAATTTGAAAGTGTTTTTAAGCTACTTTGGATGCAACCTACACCGTGTACATGTACAATATAAAGTGTAAGACTATTTGTGTTAATATTTGAACGTGATTTATTGCCGTGTTTGCATGGATGGAAACGTAAAATTCTTAACGTAAACAACCTACATGTATTAACAAAACGTTTAAGGATGTTAAATATTAAAATGTTTAAACATCACATGTTAGTTGCCACCTGTGCAGGACCTGTTTAGTTATACATTGTACAGTTAATAAGTTTAATATGTCACCTATATCATGTCCAGTGTACAGTGCTGTGGGACTATGGTTACATTAATTACACTTTAAATACAAAAAAGGGCTGCCAAGGCAAACTGGTCATTTTTTCCCTTCTGTTAACCTCAGGATGTTATTAGGCCCTATTATTCTGTTTGTTTTTTTAAGTTTGTTTTTTTAGATAAAGCCATATGAATTAAATAACAGTATCTTGTTGCAAGCCCTAGTTGACCAATGTTAATTGGCTAAGATTGGATTGTTTTGTGTAGGCATGTGGTGTCTAGTTGTCATTACATTGCTGCATACGTTTGGTTGGTCCGGATGTTGACTGTACCGATGTAATAGCTATATGAACAATGTGGACGTACCATGGCCTGATGAGGTACATGCACGGGCAACAGCAGTCACGGATTAGTTTGAGCAATTTGAGTGTTTTCAATGTTTGATGGGATACAAAAGAAGTAAAGAAGAGAACAGCTTATACATGGAAAAGCTGCATTCCTGTTAATAAAACACCAATCTGATGTCTAATCCGATAATCGGTTGATATTTATTAACCCTATGCAGAACAAGTTGGGACTTTTTGAACACTGTGCACCACTCTTATATAAGCACCTACTGTGTCTTCTGTAAGCGATATATAGGATTAGTATCAAGAAAAGTTATCAAGGCAAAAACTGGTCAGCTATATCTTATACAACTTTGAATTACTCAGAGATATGAGTTACAGGGGGAGGAGACTACTTCAGGAAAAGTGTACATTTTGGTTTGGAATTACACTCTACATGTGACTGTATACTGACTGAGCAGACTACTGTAATGGCAGGTATGTGTGCTGTGATACAAGAACACAAATACGTGTAACACAATTTGATCAATTATGCTACTGAGGGGCAATAGTAAAAAACAAATCAAGACAGGGCAATAGTGAAAATATACCATACAGTGATTTTCTCATGGGGTACTTGGGAAGCCCTTGCAGTACCCATAAAGTTACACTTGTTAAGGGTAAAAGCCAACACTGAAACCAAAACTTTAGATTTGAATACAGACAAACCACTCACACAGAACTATTCCTTAATATCGAGTATAAAGGTGTAACGTTGGTTTGCAAGTCTGTTCAGGCATCTATCTATGCATTACTCTATCTCACATCATGACTGATATGCATAGTCACTAAGAGCTGTTGCTAGTCAGGGATATACAGGGAGGTTGTCTGTCTGTCTATCTATCTGTCTATTCATCTGTGGGTTATTCTCACCTTGTCTGTGATATGCCTTGTCAGCAGCACCCACACGGCCCCATTGCCCCTGACATCCAGTTTGTACTGGGGATTGTTGGACAGATTGAAGTTGTCTTTCTTCGGACCCTCTCCAGCCTTCCATTCACTGAAATAAACACAACAAATATGGCTGGGGTTAGCGGGATACACCAATGTCCTTCTGTCATTTACAGGAATTACAACATGAATTTTCAACTAAAATGGATATTGTTCACATATACAGGGTGAGTCAAAAAGGCAAAACCGAAATGTCAGGACTATTGTTTTAGTGAACTTCTGCATGTAGCACTTTCAAAATCTAGGATATGAAAGCCCAATTCATAAGCTTTCTTTTTAAATAGTACAAGAATCATTCAAATCACTCATATAGTTCTCAAGTTACGAAATTTTAAACACAACCACTGTTTCAAAGTTCTGTCCACAAATCATAAGAAGGTAAGTGTTCTTTCAGCAAAACGAAAACGAATCACATAGGGATGTGTGTGAACTGTTTCGTTTTGCTGAAAGAACGCACACCTTTTTTTGTGATCCGTGGACAGAACTTTAAAACGGTGGTTGTGTTTAAAATTCAGTAACTTGAAAAGTACATGAGGGATATGACTGATTCTTGTACTAAAAGAAAGCTTCTGTATTGGGATTTTGTATCCTGGATTTTGAAAGTGCTACATGCAGAACTTCACTAAAATAATGGTCCCGACATTTAGCTTTCATTTTTTTCACTCACCCTGTATGCCTTTCAATTGTATGGAAATAACTCTTGTTGACTTTTTCCAAAGCTATCTTGTAACCAACTACCTTGCAACCATTAAATGAGAATAACTAATCACATATGATGAACTTAAGCTCCTAGAACCAAATCAAAAGGCTTTGGAAGAGACATTTGGCCGTGTATTCTTGAGTAGGGACATTGACCCTCCTGCTATTTAAACAGTCACAAACAGTCAAAGTTTACTTCCACTTTCCCTGCTATACATTTAACAAGGGTTAGTCACCATCAGTCAGATCATATGTCAAGTAAGCACTGTGACTAGTCAAACTGGGTCAACAGACAAAGCAGGCAAGTTGTGGTCACAGCTGTTTTATCACTCAACTGGAGTCAAAGCATAGCTGTATCAAGTTACTTAAACAGTCCCAGCCAGTCAATCCTGCTTGATGTGGGTGGGAATCTTAACTGTAGAAAACAGTCACTTGTTTGATTTTGACTCAAAGGATGTATGTTTGCATAGGAGGGTTTAATATTAACAATTATATAACCGACATACATATCCTTGTCATTTGATTGGTGGAACTCACATCACGTGACATTCGTTATTGCTCCCATTCACGCCGGGTCTCAAAAAGTACTATCTGCCCATGGGGAATGGGCAATACTATTGAACAGTTAGGATCATTTTTGTTCCAAGATGCGGTATTTGTGTGCAAAGGAATGCTGGTGTGCAAAGGAATGCGCGTAGCATGTATTGTTCCAAAAAGCTAGCCAGCGCTACAGAGTGGGGTTCAAACATTTTCGTGAAGGGGTGGTTTGGAAAAGAGAAATACATTTCCCATCAATTTTGTAGTGAAATAAAAGTTAAAATATATCAAATGACAAGGATCTATATGTCAATTATATAAAACAAATATTAAGTGGCTTTAAATTGTGAATGGGAGGAATATCATCGCTCGGTAAAATCTGGACTTTTCCAGTTCACTCGGCTTTGCCTCGTGAAATGGAAAAGTCCAGATTTTACCTTGCGATAATATTCCTCCCATTTCACTCTGAGCCACTCAATATTTGTACAACAAAAAACCCTTGGTAGGACTACATATATGAGAACAAGGGTCAGAGAGAATACTGACCAGTCCCTAATCATCAATGGCAGATATCTACAGCAAGTATGCTGAGAGTTAGCTGATTCTGCATTGAATTGCTCTCTAATGTGATGGATAAAATGGTCCAAACAACCAACATGTGACTGACCTGTGGATGACGTATGTGTAGGGGAAGAGTTTGGGGTTCCAGTTCATGTAGATGACATCAAAGAAGTGACACAATGAATCCAGGTCAATCCAAAACACTCCTAATAACATGAATAGTGACAACTCAGCATTATTTGATCACTCATAGCTTGAAGAGAACATAACTCAACAAATACAAAAAGAGGCTTTATGCTTGTGCCAGGTAAATATCTCGATTTTGAAATTATGATAGAAAAGGGCAATCCAAGGGCGGCTGATTAGTTTTCAAGATCTGGTTTGCTTGTTTACCTTATACCCTTTTAACAGACTAGGCCAAAGAATATAAATTTTGAGTTTCCAAAAACATTGTCAAAAGAATAGAAGAGCTGGTAGGTAGGGTATGGATGCACCCCTGTACTAAAATTTCCAGACACCAGTGCTAAATGCCCATACTTCAAAATTCTTTTAAAAATACTCAGTCTCTCACAGGTATTTAAGCTGCACAGAAAACTGATGATCATCTGTTATTTTATTTTCATTGGTTTTTTTTTTAAAACAAAATTGCTCCTGAGCCTCAATAATAGTCATTAGTCAGTAGCTGATGATAGCTGAGATGACTGTATGGCTGAATACATCCATGATTCGACTGCAAAGCAACACACGCACACAAAACAGTGGATTGGTTGCTTATTTTCTGAATGAAACCTCAAAGCTTCACTCCTGATCCTAAGATGCACAATAATATCAACTGAATGGACTCTTAAAGTCCAGATAGTATAATTCAGCAAACAAAATAACAAGCCATTATTGAGATAGACCCATGAAGGCAGGCATGTTGGTAACCCTTGGTCAAAGGAGCATGGAGTGCATGCAGAACGCCTACGCATGAGCATTTAGTATGTGTGGTTCCACAGTAATGACCAATCAACACATTGGTCTATATTAATACCGATATTCATGATACTTTTGTCACAAGCACTGCTGCAATAAATAAAGTACGAGAGAGTACCATTGTCAAACTGCTGAGCATTCTTGGGGTCAAAGTTGAGTGCCTTCTGAAGCTCTGCAGTCCAGTTTGTCTCATCTGTCTCCGAGTATCGTCCTTTCCATCGCAGATGGCTCCAAGGATTCTTGAGTTGCAGTAACTTTCTTCCCTGCAGCGATACAAAGATTTTGGGTCAGGAATAACTCAGACAGTTTACTATAAGATCATTAAGATGAGGACATAAAAAAATAATGCCATATACTAGCCAATTGATGTAAATGTATCCTAAAAAGTAGCTTAAAGACACTATTTGGCTTTTCTTTGTGGAGAATCCATGGAATTTGACAGTTTGACTGCTGTTTTGTAAGATGTATTCATGAAGGTTTGCAAATTATTACTTTAACATGGCCTTATGCAGTACTGAAGTGAATACGTCATGCGCACAAATGTGTGTAAAAGACATTAGCGCGCGATTCAGCCTGCGAACCAACACGCGCGCGTACTCCATTCGTTTGCACTACACTTTCTGGTTTTAAATGACGTCACACTTCGGTACTCCATTAGCAACAGAAAGACAGCAATGGTGACAAGATACTGATGTTTGAATAACCCACCATTATCTCCCGTATATCCAACATGGCGTAAGCATGTGTGGGTACCAGTCCCGCCCGGTCTCCTTCAGCATCAGACATCATGCCCGTTGCCAAGGTAGCAAGGACATCTCCTTTATGGAAGCGGTCTTTGAGTTTAGCAAAGACTTTGTCTTTGTCGAATTCCTTGGAGTCTGGTCTGATGGCTTGGCGTTCAGGGATCCAGCCTGTTAGGGCATGCAGGTCAATGTTCTGTGGGATGGGGCACAAATCAACATACAGGTCAAGCAAGAACTGCAATAACATGTTCATGGAGGTGTAGGAAACAAGGTCAGCTACAGAGAGTACCATCAACATTTCAAAACGGCTCAGTTTGTTTACTGGATACCACACAAATACACATGTATGATGTACTTGCAGGACACATTTTCTGTGCAAATGCCTGATGTTTCACTCATCATCCAACCAATTTTGATGAAAATATAATTTGACTGAAAATGGACAATAGCATTCACTGCCAAATACACCAGATTTATCTGATAGCTTGTGCTTATCCTACCAGAAGGATGAATCAACTTGTTAAAGATGATGAGTTCACACTTTTACAAAATATATTTTACTTTTTGTGTATAGGTCCCTGTCCTCTTTCAGGTATATTTGATACAATTTTAATGATCACTGAATTAAAAAACTCTTTCTTGGAAGAATTATACTGATTGTCATTCTATCTTAAAGAATAAAAACAAGTCACTGATATCATAAAATGTTCAAGAAAGATACTGATCCCCTGGATAACGGCACAGACAAAGCGTAAACCCCTATGCTAGTATTGGACAGTCTTCTTTATTTACCTACCATGTATGATGACCTAGGCTCTATTCCAAGCTGGATCAACATGGATTGGCTTTGTATTTTGGGGCGTATTTCAGACAAAAATCCATGGTGTATCTTCCCCTGCACTTCTCAAACTGATCTGTAATTTTCCTGGATGACCTCTCACAAAGAAAAAGTCACCCTGGTGTACCAAAACACCCCCCCCCTCCTCTTTGGTTTCAACTTCATCATATGCTTTTGTGGATTTAAACATTGGTTGGACATCTCAGGGCTGAACACCACATTAGAGCTTTAAAGTGCTCCAACCCATCAAGAAGATGAACTAAAGAGATACTAGATAACCCTAGTAATGCATCCCTGAGTGTTTACCGAGTTGGATCCAGGGAAATCATAGCCTCCCATCACCTTCATGTAGGCTTTCTCCAACAGAGACACCCATAATTCATTGCGGTTGTTGGAAAATGAGCACAGCAGATCACCATGTTTATCCATGGGCAGATAATCATCAATGATCACCTGAAGAAAAACAGATCGACACACTCTCCATAACAAATATAACGACAAAGAAATTTGAACTGTTGGCAGAAATTTGCTTCTACTTTAAAGGTAGAGTACATAATTTTCATTTGTGCATTATGTTCGTTTGAAGCAACAAAAGAGCTCAAAATCTAAAGAAGGGTGCTGAACAACTAACTTGATGAAGTTTTAGCTCTGTGAATGCTGTATATTCCGAGAAAACAATATTCTAGGATCTCGATTTCAATTCAAAATTTGCCAAGTCATGTTTTGAATTTTGTCTGAAATCAGTGTCTGGGACATGTTCTCATTCAGCCGAGTGCAGCTGCAATACATCATGCACTGAACTGACGAATTGTAGCAATTGTGCGCGTGTGCGTCTTGTCAATGCTTGCACGCACCAGTCGCTGAATTAAAAATGAATTACCAACGGAAATACGTCTTCAGACACATCTTTAGAAATGACCTTTTTTTATTGTTTTCTTCAAAATGACAGCATGCAAGAAAGAATAATTTCACAGGAAGTTTAGTGCCATTACTATCCTTTAAACCAAGTAAGCTTTTCAACAACAATTTTGTCAGTTACTTTTTAGACAGCTGGAAATGATGTACTCCACCTTTAAAACATAGAGCTTGACAGTTTATATTCAGCTAACTAACATACTTGATTGTGATTTGTCGGTCCATAGTCTGTTTCACAGATAATGCCATATTTGTGGTCACATGGTAATCTCATGGTAATCTAAATAGTGTCGCTAATCACATGGGCAATAGGTAGGCCTAATAGCCCGGTCTAGTCCTGACTGATGGTGAAGTATACATGTTAGTAAGGCAGATGAAATGAACAGAATCAAGTATGAATCAGACAAAGAACTATTTACAAAATCAAACCCTTGTCTGTGTGCAATGGGCCTTATGCACAATCTGGCCATTTTTGTCGTGTTCCCTGAATTTATTTCATAAATTGTGAACTGTTAAATAGGATGGTGCCAGACTATTTATTCACTACAGCCTCACTTTCATTTCTTTTAAATGTGGCTGAAAACATTAGAGTATGTTTAATCACAAATTTTAAATTATTCATCAGAGCAGACGGGTATTAATTTGTAACGTTGTTGCTTTCATTTCTCTCCGTACCCAGTTGGTCTGAGTGTGTCTTTGTTATTATAGTTATAATAGTTATAATAGTTATCTTCTTTGTACAGACTGACCTTTCTTTTGACTCCATTGAGATGAAGGATCACCATGTACTTCCCACAGGGGTTGTAGATTGGCTTGCCCTGCTTGTCTTGGGGATAGACAATTCTGAAAAAAACAACAAAGGCAAATGAAACTAATTTCAAAAAGATATTAGGTTTTCCATGTTAAGCAACACAAATGAAAGATAGTAGTGAACTTTAATTTGGACTTTCCAGGAATAACTTGCGCAGTCTCTTCTTAAAGATGTACCGTCCATGCTCCTCAACAAATTCAATTGTTTCCCTCCTGACCAGTTGTCAACTTGTATGTTTTCATTTAACAAGAACCTAATTTTTTTTACTATTTTGGGCAGCTGAAACCCTCCAATTACAAGGCTGGAACAAGTGTAACCTGTGAGGACTTAGTTACAGTCAGGTTGCAAAAAATTTGAAATCTATAAAGTAATTATTCAAATTACGGGAAATGGGCCATTTGGGAGAAATCCCCATAGACTTGTGCACACAATTTTTCAAACTTCAATGTGCCTCAACCCAATATTCCCTCGTCCTTTCTCCACAAATTTCGGTGTCTTTACTAATTAGACCACGAGCAACAAATATAACCTAATTGCGACAAAAAAATTGTGCCTCTAAAGGGGGCTGTGACATTAGGGAGACATGAAAATGTCTCCCTAATGACCGATGTCTCCCATCGTGCGAGGAAATTACGATAACGTGTCTCCTTAATGGTACCTTTACATGTATTCCATAAATAGAAAATAAGCCAATTTTGTTTGATGCCTCATTCAAAAGTGAAATCTTAAAATTGGAAAATCGTATACACTGTAGTTGCAGGAGTTGGATTTAAAGGGCCACATAACAAATTCCCTGCACTGTCCCATCTACCCTCACACATGTGGTTTTCTATTTTGATAATCTCATGGAGGGTCTTAGGTTGCAGTAATGACAATTACTGCTCTGAAGATTTGACTTGTTCTTTGCTCATTGGGCTCACTTGGATGAAACCTCAACTCACTTTGTGATAACACTCTTCTTGAACCGTCTTTCATAGTTAGCTGAGATGGCCAAGGATGCAAGGAAGGAACAATCCTGAACAATTGTCTGGAGGTTGAAGGAAAAGGATATAAGAACATAAACTGTGCATCACATGAAACTACAGGTTAATAAGAAGCAAACAAAGAAGGATCAGCAGATTGGAATGAGGTCCAAATAAAGCTTCAGACTAGATTGTCTGAAATGCAAAAATGAAGCAAACTTCATGTCAACAAATTAGTTGTTGCCCATTATCCTTTCTATCCACATGAAATGCAAACCAGTATGTGCACAGAAATGAAGACAGGAAGATTATAAAAAGCAGACAAACACTCATCTCATCAAGACTGGTGCCCTGCCTGATTTAACATATGAATTGATATGTTTGCTGCAACCACTGTAATTACCATGACTCAAGTTTTCAAGTTGACATCTCGGAGTTTAACAAAGTAAACTGACTGAAGGATGTAATGCTGTATATCCATGTGCACTTTAATAAACTTAAAAGGTCTGAATTGCCGAGTCAAATATCAATTTACAGTGGATGGGCTCTAAAATCAGGCACAACCAGGCATTTGATTTAGGTGGGTTGGGGTGACAGAAAGTAACAAATGTGTTAAGTGAACATAAAACATGCCTGTTTTATACTGAACGCTGACACAGCAAAGATCATCTGTGGGTCTGAGCAGAATTCTGATGGTCGGACAAACTTAGCAAGTCTGGATTTCTGCTTAGCGGCTAAGGCTAGCTGACCCAACTTGTCTCTGTGAAGGAAAAGAATAGACCCTATCAACAGTCAATGGTTCATCCAAAGGACAATGGGAAAAGAGAACAGTTTATCAGCATGTGTTGTTTACTTTCATTTCCATAGGACTTTATCATACCTTGGTTCACAGTCTTGTCATTCACATTATTTTACTATTGAAACCAGGTCTGAAATAACAGACTTAGCACCGTATATATTGATATTACTCGATTATTCGATTTATTTTGATATCGATATCGCCGTTAGCAATTTTTTAATCATATTGAAGTATTTAAATTTTTGATATTGAGGAATCATATCAAAAATATTGAAAATGCATCAGATTATCGTCAAAATAATTTTCCCGTTTGTGCTTTTAGTCTGTGTTTATTGTTTGCTGTTTAAAGAAATAAAACTCAGCGGCAACTTGTGCTTGTGAGTCAAAATAAAACATTGCAAACTGCCAAGCGGCGTCGCTTTGTGCTCTGCGCTCCAGGAATTCATGGTCTCCCCCAATGTAAAACTATTTAAAAAAAAAGGCCCATTCTGGAGAACCTCAACTTATTGACATTAGTACACCTTGTTGTTTAATATCAAACGCAGAGACCAGGTTATGTTTGAGCAGTTGATTTGGAAGCCTCTCTGGCCTTTGTCTTGGCTGCCCAAACTTCTCCCATCCCAAATCAAGTTCAATAAAAGCAGCAGCATTTGTCTGACAAACTAAATCACAGCAATGGAGCCCTCAATCAAGTGATTCTGTCACAATTTTAGTAAAACCATGAAAACTTGGAAAGGAAGTCTTGGCAAACTTACGTGAAAGGAATAGAGAAGGCAAACTTTTCTTTCAAGTCAGCTTGCGATATATATGGAAGAAACTCTCGACCATTAATAAATGAAGTGGTCCTGTGAAAAAAAGAAAAGAAAAACTTATTCAAGTGCAAAACTACATGTAAACTGCACTGGAACTAACTCTACTCAGAAAGGTGTACAGAACACAGCCCATTCAAAGTAGCAGTCAAATCAGATGATATTTCAAAATGACAATGTTGTATGGTCTGGGAGGTTTCCTGACCTTAGTACTTTAATCTCTTCAGCTGTATAGGAGCCTCCTCCACCACCTCTATTCCCTCCTCTATTTGGACCACCACCACCACCACCTCCCGATGCAGACAGCCGGCCATCATTTGACCCGACACTTGCACTGCCTGCACTGTGAGTATTCCTCTTGGTTGGCTTAGGTGAGGACTGGGGTGTGGAATGGGAGGAGTGAGATGTATGGATGCTGGCGTTGTTCGGCAAGTCAGGAAGGGAGGACGGAGGCTCTGGAAGGCGTAGCACTGGCTCATTCTTTGTCTTGAGCTGTTCTGCCCTATAAGAAATAAATAACAACAAACTGGCAAGGGTTACCAACATGAACAATGTTCTGCCAACTGGCTTGACATTGCGCTGTGTATCACTTTAATATTCTGTTTCATCATGTTAATGGTCCGGTATTGAAGGCATACAGGATCATTTTCATTTATCCCAAAAGTAACCTACCAAATTCTTATCAAGAACGTTCTTGGATTAAAGGTTGTATAGTACTAAACACTTTGTGGAAACTCATTTTTGTCCGGCTTGCTGCCACAGAGAAGAAATCAAGAAATGTAGGTGATTTCCAATGATGAGTCAATGGACTGATTTTTGGAAATATAGAAATTGTGTTTCGTAATCAAAAGGTTTTGCATGGTTTTTCACTTTTTTGTCAAAAAAAGTATACAATTCACTAAACTGAAACTGCAACAGGTTGGGTTTTTAATATTCTTCTTTGGATTATTAGTGGTGTAATTATTGGAAATAAACAAAATGTATGAAAAGCAAATGACACTATTATGCCTTTAAAAGATTGGTTTAGACTTTTAGAAAATTAAATATAGAGTCACAGCTGTACAATAGACCCCTTTTAAAGTGCCAACAACCCCCCTTCCCCCTTCCCTCCCCCAAAACCTTTTCCATATGAACACAATTGTATAAGCGAACAATTTAACAGTAAGTACTTTCTTACTTTGCTTACATTTTTGATGTGTTGGAATATTTTTCAGAGTGTGTCATATTAGGAGATCCTCCATTTGATTTTATGTCAAATTTTTGGACACATTTTCAGACTTAACTTTCAAATGAAACATTAACTTTCAAAAACAAAACAAACCAATTTAAAATCATTGTTACAGTGCATATATTTAACTGAAGTGACTCTTCATAAACATACATGTTAGGCAACAATATGTGATGGAAGTCATACAAAAAGTGTGCAATGTTCAGACAAAAAGATAAGTAAGCCAAATTTGCAAGGCTCCATTCAATGATTCAGTTACAGCGTGTATGTATTTACCTATCCATCGCTTGCTTGGCTAGTATATTGAGCTTGCTTCTCTGCTCTCCAGATGAGCATGATCTTGCCTGCAAAAAAACATTTCATAAAGTCATTTAAAAAAAAAGTTTAACAATTACTTGAACAACTATGACAATTACTACTTTTTACTGCTACTTTTGACAAATGCTTACTAACATTTAAATTTGTTATTTAAATTTATTTATTTATGTTGTGCCTCTAAGTTAAATAAGATAAGAAAGTTAAGTGCTGAAACTTTCTTTCAAAGGGAATTTCTCCTAAGAGTTTTATTTTAATAGTAAAACTAATGTTAGCCTGTCCTTCAAAGGCCAAATTGTCAACACTGATACCCTAAAACACGGTACAATTTTACCATGTTATTCCCTTTTTTCAGTAGGAGATATAAGACATTTGCTAGTATGTGTTAGAGATCAAATCATAAGAGACAAGCAAAATGATCTATTTTTTGAACGTACATGTATGGACAACTGTTTTATGAAGCACCTTTTTTGGTACTATGACTTAGTCAGTATAAACTGCAATAAATGTTCATAATTTCGTAACAAGCAACGCCAGTAAGATACTCAACAGCTTCTATGCACATCTCAGCAGCATTCAGGTAGAGTTCTGTTGCATCCTCTGCATTTCCATGCCCATCTTCATCAAATGCTTGTCTCAACAAGAACTTAGCTCTCTCAGCAGCCATCTGCTCAGCAGACTTTGTTTGTGTCGCTGCCTGTCCAGAGTTCTGATTAACTGAATAAATAATCAAATAAACTTTGTGATTGCATCTTTTTCTCAGTGGAGTTTGCCCTCCTCCGGGTCCTTCTCATTGGTAACCAGTGCTACATGTAGACTTTCCAAAAACCCCAACGAATTTGTCTTCTTGGATTTCAATTTACAGACTGCTGAACAGTAAGGAGTAATACTGTAAATATGCATCGTTAGGTCTAGTCCATCAAGTGGCTGTAAGTGTTTTATTAAAAGGTGAGTGACGGTGAGCATGGTGAGGGTTTTTATCATTAACTCCTTCAAACCTTCAAAACCTGTACTTGTATAACATTGATGGATTCATTAGTACTATATACAGCACCCAGCAAATATCAGTTGTATGTCCGAAAAGAATGTGACAGTGGCAATGTTAAATTGCTGGAGTCAGGCAGAATATACCAGTACATGTACATGTAGATGGGGGCTTTATATCCTACCAATCTGATGCAGTTCTTTGACACGCTTGGTGTACTCTGAATATCGCTCAGCAAGGTTGAGGTTTGGATCAGCAAGAGATGCATTATACATTGCTTGGATGGCTTCCTGTATTCGGGATAGGAACATAGCAGCACAGGATTTAGACAACTCAAATCATCTACATGTATACAAAAACCTGTCAATAAGCTTCGTAGCTTGGTACATATGTACATGACACAAATCTGTATTTCACAAAATTTCAAAACATGTGACATACAGTCAGTCTCAGAAACGCTGGACCCTACAAACTGCCTGTTTAGTCATTTGGATATAATTGGGTGATAGTATCGTCCAAACTCTGACTGTTGATTTAGCATCATTAGAGGATTGCTTGGGATATTGCTCTAGCAATAAGACTTTCCTCAACATTTCCAAATTGATATTAATAACTTACATCTGAATTCTCTGAAACTTTCTAAAAGAAACACTAGAAGCAAAAATACTCCAATCAAAAATTGAGTTACTGTGGGTACCTAGTTCATCTACAAATGTGTCAGAAGGTCACAAATAAAATTGAGTCCACAATCCATCAACAGGAACGTTAGAAATTTTGAAAGCTCAGAGATATGAACGGAGCGTGGCTTCAATTGTATGTCACATATGTTGTATAATGCCATGTTTACGGGTCTAGTTCAGTGCCTATCCGGCAAAATGTAATTTACTTAAACTTAATGAAAGTTGTGCCGGCTAAATATACACTGTCTTTCCTTCCTGCCATGGCATGCTTTATGGGGTAATCCTTACCTTTAGGACCCCTTTCCTATATAAGGTTAAAAGACTCACCAAAACAACTGACTAAATGACAATCAAAAGTGACACTCTGATATTTCTTGGCACATTTGAACATTTGGCAACGACACCTTCTTGAATATCAGCAGCTTTAATTTCGTAAAAAGAGGGCAGGGCTTTGATTTATGAGGGGTTAAAGACGACAATGACAGTCAGTTTTGAACAGAACTCCTACAAAATCATGAAAATAGAGGTGTCCTAAGGATTATCCTTTATGGTAGTTTGCCCGAGGTATCAAACTCAAAGATAACCTCCGACTATTTAAACACTTTATAACACGTTAAGTGGATTTTCATTCTCTTACAAATACAGGACACATGCAGGAACAGGCCACACCCATTGCCCAATCCTCTTTATACAAAGTTAAGGAGCCAAAGTTAACAATAACATTATACACACAGCGTAGTAGAATATGGCAGTTTGATACTGCCCTGCCTGGTCGCATTTTATCGCTGTGGTTGCAAACTCCCGAGCGTCACGAACCAAAACATCTGAATGGGCAGGCCTCGATGAACTGTCTCCGGGGTTTACACTGCCGACGACCTCGTTTTCTCCATAGTTACTGGAGTAGTCTGACCAAAACATCTCGATGGAGACTTTTGATTTCTTATTTATATTGTTCAAATAGGCCTAGTGTCGAAACATCGAACATCACATGTTTAACCATAATATAAAATAACTCGACGATGCCCTTCATTTCATTTTCACACTACATGTAGCAAAACAGTAGTTGGCCTGCGCTGCGCTGGCACACTAATACATGTAATAACTTCGCGAGCAGTGCTGCCTGCCCTCTATCGATGTGTGACACTGCCCTCTATCGTACGTGGTTAATAATAAGTTTTGATTCTTTGGTTCACATGTCATGCATGTGTTGATTTAAAGATAAGATAGAAGAATGACCTAGATAAATCGACGACTTTGCCCCTTTCGTGCCGCCATCTAATTTCATAGAGAGCTTTCTGAGAGTTGCGCATTTTACATCCCCCAAAACCTTCCAAAATGAATCGGTTGCAAACAATCACCGGTCATTTAGCTGTTCCGCCGCAGCGCCCGACGTCAGTGAATGTTGTTCCGAGAGAGACAGCTGCAGCAAGCGGAGCTGGAGTCGGGACTTCGTGGGTGCCAGCCCGGGCACCCAGGCACGACGACGTGGTGGTGGTTTGTGCTAAACGGACACCTATCGGTAAAGCCAAACGGGGCTCGTTCAAGGTTAGAGACACGCCTCGATAATCATGCAGTTTAGGACTCATCCTTGTCACTGCTAGTTGTTTTGTTTTAGGCCTAGGCCTACTTCCTCGTTCAAAACGACTTTCAAAAAATGACTTTTTTTGCAGCCCCAACTCCACGGCCCAAGCATTTTACATTTTTTTTTTAATTTAGAGAAAAAAATCCATACGGGGCCACCACTCATAATTCATATTCCATTTATAATACTTTAAAATGTTCTGTCATGGCCATAGTCTTTGTGCAGGAGCTCTGAGTGGTGGCCCAGTATGGAATTTTTTCCTCAAATTTTGACTTTGGTCGGTCGTACCAGCACTACTGACCAAAATCTTTGGTCGGTCGTACTAGCTACCAGTACCTGTAGTACAACTGACCGAACATGCCAAAGCTGAAAGCCAAAATTAAAAAAAACAAGATCTCTAGTGCCCCAGTTACTGGGTCTAGTGTCTGTCGTATCTGGAAGGAATTGTACCACTTCAGTGATTAACAAATTTAAAACCTCAAAGTTGATTGCGTCTTACAAAACTAAAAAAGGTTTGACAATGTTTATCTTTGCATGTATACACATTCAAAAATCTAGATTTTGGTCAAATTAATAAAGGTAAACTTTTCAAGTGATCCAAAATTGCCTCCACTATACTCCAATTGTATTTGTCATTGGCCACTCCCCTTTTCTCATTTTGCATCGTTATACCTATCCTCAGTTTTTTTGTCAATTTTTATTTTTCTTCAGCGTTTCTGAACAAAGGCCCAAATCCTAATTGCATTAAGATCACAATTCTATTATCCAGAGTTGTATATTTTTTTTAAAATTTGAATTGTTTGACAGGACACCAAAGCTGATGAACTATTGACAGCAGCCTTCCAGGGTGTTTTGCAGGAAACCAAGATTGCCCCAGCTGATATTGGAGACATCGTTGTTGGCAATGTTCTGGCTCCAGGGGGTGGGGCGTTCTTGGCAAGAGTTGCTCAGCTCCTCAGGTTTGAAATGATCCTGGTATAAAGTGTAAACATGAGAAGGAGAAAACGGAATGAAGGCAAGGAATCACCATGATAATGACCCCCTGTAACTTAGTGAGGATGTATAATCAATGATTATTGATAGTTATGATGATGGAAATGGTAGCACTAACACTTAGATTGATGGTAGTGAGGACCTCCAATGCTGGACTAATAACTGTCTTTTATTGTATTTTTGTCATTATTATATCATGTTTTTATGTAATCCAGGGCCCCCAGGGGGAACAGTTCATTAAAAACTGATGGGGCTACCCTGGTAAAATAACACTAAATATATGAATAAATAAATGGTGATGATGGTGACGATGGTGATTGCCATAATGGTAATATGATCAGTGGTTACAGTAAAAATGGTCATATGGTAATGATGATAATTGTAATGCTGATTTACAATGATTGATGACTGATTGGAATGATGATACTCTATTCACAAGTTCTAGAAACACCACAGAATTCATCTCACGGTCCACTAGTGATCATAATTTACCCATGCATAATAAGATTTTAATACCTTTTAAATACAATTTGCAAAGAAAAACAGACAAAACTCGCCATCCTTGATTAAGAAAAAGACTTGCTTTATTCACTATAAATAAAAACAAAATCTGACAGTAAAAACAAGGTCAGTCTTGACTAAAATTAAATGTCATTTGAATTTGAATGCCTGTGTGTAATCTCTGGAGCTCTCTAATCTGAATAGCTAAGCATTTAGCTTAAAATTCTTTGTACAAATGTAACGTTTTTTTATTTTAGTAAAACATGCATTACTTCTAATAGCAAGAAGCAATTTTAGTAATTCAGATGAGTGGAAAAACATTAATTTCAGTCACTTTTTTGACTCACACTGTATGGTGATGATATTTAAAAAAAAAAAACATTCAGAAGATTTCTTGTTTTTTTTGTTTTTTTAGTGGAATTCCTGTATCCGTGCCGGTCAACACAGTCAACCGTCAGTGTTCTTCAGGTCTGCAGGCATTCATGAACATAGCAGGAGGAATCAAGAATGGAGTGTATGACATGGGCATTGCTGCTGGGTGAGTGCTTATAGCAACATTGTAGAGATTCTTTAAGGGCCCATATATGTTTATGTACCCTGCAGATTTTCATGTAAAAAAAACCCCCAGTAAATATAGGCGGAGTGTACATGGAGTTTAAAATTCTGTGTAAAGAAATACAGCATGCATCTTTTTAGAATTTGACATCCACCAGCAACTGATCTGGGCCAACTCCATAAAGCACTACACATGGTTACTAACCAGGGGCTGTATGTGGCAACTCATCATAAGTTAAGATGAGCCTTTGGGTCGTCGTAAGAAGCATCAAAAATACAAAACACTGAAAGCAATCTAATGCTAGAGACAAGGTAAATAAAATCATTAACTTGAGAGATGCATGTACACATGAAGGGAAATGGCAAAATAATTTTCAATCAAGTCTTGAAAACCACCTGCCATTTTGTTTGTGATGTTTAAAAAAATATTATATGTTAGAGAAGTTCTGACTCTTTACTTAATATTTGACAACTATATATTAACCCATTTTTACATGATCCAGAAATACACTTTTTTTCCCACTGTGAATGAATTTAGTGAAATCTTTCATAGAATTAGTTGAGTATAGGTAGTAGTAAAGAAGTGTGTTGTACATGAAGTGAATGCATATAATATACATGTAACTTGAAAGAATATATGGGCACTGATTCCAGACATAGTTGTACTTGCACTTCAATGCATTGTGTTGAAACAGAGAGTTACAGGTAAGAAATGTTTGTCTGATCCTGTGCAGAGTTGAGTCCATGTCTAGAATGCAGCAAGGCCAGGAGGCTAATGACCTGAACCCCAAGGTGTTTGATAATGCAGACGCCAGCGAATGTCTTACTCCTATGGGGTGAGTTTTCTTTGATTCAATGATAGATCCTTACCTACATCAACCCTAACCCCCTAGCATGATTCACTAGGAACCATACCCATCCTGGCAAATTCCAACACCATATGGGAAACTGCACACTCATATCTCTGACTTTGATTCTGGAGGTGTGCCAACCCAATGTAAAAGACTGTCAGTTTAGGGGTACTGTACCCATCCTGACAGATTCCAACAAAACATGCCGTTGGGGTTGTTTGGCCTGTGCTCTGGTGCAAAAGTGCCATCTGATTTGGATTTTCCTAACATCTGTAATTTAACACAATCAAAGGAAGAAAAATGGGCAGACCACAGCTTAGATATACAGACGCTCTTGTGAAAGCTCAATACATCCAAAAAATTATGCGTTCTGCATATGCACATGGGATGTGCCCTTTATATAGACTTGAAATCGAGTCTGTAATTGGCCGGGTTTCATTCGCCCGCACCGTGCTGCGATATATGTACAGCCTGTTACCCCATGTCGTTTCGTTCCTTGGTACGTGCAGTATAGTATGGTACTTACATGCGGGGACGGTTTGCGCATCTTCAATCTCAATATGCGTGTACGTCAGTTCCAATTACCAACTTGAATAATTTGTTCTCGCCCTTGTACACAATGTATGGCAAGTACTACCAGCAGTCTAATTGGTTAAGAATCAGGAGAATATAAATTTATTTCATATTAAATCTTACAGTTTACGCATCTTGTGCACGTTTCACAAACATATATTCTGTGCGTGATGAATGCAATACAGCCTAGTGCGAGTCCCATTCCTCCAGGGGTCAAAGCTAATTCCTGGGCCGTTTGGCATTCCATCATGTTATTTTCTTATTCGGAAATCAAATATTTGAGGTAATATATTTCCACTTTTATTATAATTATACCATAGAGTTTTATATTGTAATGAGCATTTTGCGAAAGAAAGTGAAACATATACAAATATCTAAGCAAGATATCCCCACGTTAATGATGGATGCCTCCTCAGTGGAACAGGTGAGCTATTAGTGGCTCTCTCATTATGGAAACGTAATGCATGCGTACATATATCGCTGGGTGCATAAAGAATATCCATCCCAAATCATGTTAGTCAAGTCAATAGACATGTTGAACCCAGCAAATGATAATAAGCATGAAACACAGCGCCATGCTAGTTGATATTGCGGGGCCCACAGACAAAACACGGTTGTCACGTGACTTGTCCTCAAGTCTACACCTTAGGGCAAGTTCCCACAAGAACTATTGTTGACGAATGGTTAACCATAATTAGACTAAAGTTAGCCGGAACTCTGTCTAGTCGACGATGGTTGACTACGCTAGTCGACTATTTGGAACCAGCCTACTGGGGCTGGTCGCGCAACGATTTATAGCTGGTTATCAATAGCAATTTCCATAGCATAGTGCAGAGGGGACCAACTTTCAACAAAAATGGTGGAAAACGAAACTGTGAGCTAAAAATTTCATTTTCATTGCACAGTTGTTCCATGTTAGTGTACGATTCTGTCACTTTTGTCACCTTTGTATAATAATATTGGCGATTAATCCTAAACTATACACAGCCACTGTTATTGTGTAAATAAAGTGAAACAACAAGAGTTGAATAATTGTGCGACTGCCTTTTGTTTTGACAGTCGTTGACATGACAAAAGTTCGACTACAGTCGTTCACACTTCAACTTCAGTGTGCATGTGCTAGGCACGTCACAAACCAACCACTAGTTAACCACTGGTCCTTGCTCGAACTTGCCCTTTTATGAAGCTGTTGTGAGTAGTAACATGGCATCAAGTACTGTTCTTGCAATGAGTGTATAATAGTTATGAACAGATCCCACTGATTGCCTCAGTTACATTTGCAAGCCATCCTCCAGACTCCCTTTATTTATTTGTCAATCCCACTTCATACTTTGTTTTGGTTCTTCTTTTCAAACAGGCTCAAACAGTTTTTTCCAGTTGTGGCATAATTCTTATTTTCTGGTTTAGCTTAGACCCAGCTTCAGTGCCTACAGAAACATCTTTGAATTGTTTTTAGAGAAATGAAAATTATAGAAGTAACACTTCCTTTGGTTTGTTTTCCAGAATAACTTCAGAGAATGTGGCTGAGCAGTTTGGCATCACTAGAGAACAGCAAGACCAGATGGGATATGAGTCACAAATGAAGTAAGTAAAATACATCATCTGAATCTGTCATGCCTGTTAATTATGAATGTATTGGACAAAAATTCAAAAAAGAGTTGCCATTACGAAGTCTGAACATTTTTATGCTCTCACAGCCCGCCTCTGTAGAGTATTCTGAGCAGGAAAAAGCAGTGTGCCAAGCATGGTCTTTGCTAGAACTGTTCTGGAGTAAGTAGTGTGCATGTGCACGTGATGTTGCAATACAGAGATCCCTATTGGATTTAAGACTGTGCCATATATCCTCAACAGCATTTTGATGCAATCCACGCACAAACCATATGTTGTACGAAAGCAAAAAATCCCTGGTGTCCGTTGCCCTGTGTGTGGTATTAACTCTAACTCCCTAGGCCTTTTTGCTAGGTTGTAGCCTCAATCCTGCAAAATCCTCCATTATTTTTTGAATTTGTATGGTCCGTGGAGGGGTGACCACTGCCTGAACCCTGCAAAATCCTGCGGCAGTGACTGTCAATATGTTGAGGCTTGGCCAGTGACATCCTGGAGCAGTAGGGAGGATTTCAAGCATAATCCAGGCCTATATTTATTCATGGCTGAGCAAAAACAACACAAGGTCCAGCCGCAGACCTTTAACAAAGTGCATTCTACGAAATCAGTAACACACTTTTGCCATGTAACCTCAATCCTCCAAATTCCTCCACTTTGGCAAAGAGGATTTTGAAGGATTCAGGGCGGTTAGGGATACTAATTACCTCCTTACAATTTTCAGGTATCACTGAATAAAAAAAAAAACCATGAAAAAGGAATGTATCAACCTCAGTGTATTAATGTTTATAATGGTTGTGTTTGGTAGGGCAGCAAGGGCCAAAGCCCAGGGCTTGTTCAAGGATGAGATAGTGCCAGTAACTACACGGATTGAAGACAAAGATGGCAAAGAACGACAGATAACGGTAAATCCAGGTTGGAATGGGCTCAAAAATGTTCAGAACAATTTGTGCTTTTAAATCGGGGTTGAGCTTTCAAAGTACCTCAAGGCAAGTTTAAATTTGAGGAAAATTAACTTTCAGATTCTAGTCCCAGTTGTTTTAATTTGTCAGATTTGAGTTTATTGGAAAAGAGATAAGCTTAGCCTTAACAAAATTAATAGGGCAAGTATTCATACATGTACTTGTATTGATACATATCCACTGAACTACAATATGCAGGAGTTACAACTCTCGTTCTCATACTGATGCTGATTCATAGGCCTACAGCAACTCATAAAAAGGACTCAATAATTCCACCCAGTCCGTGGTATACGTGTACATTTGGAATGCCACTTAGCAGTATAACATGAACTGTCTGTACATATATTCATCAGGTGACTGAAGATGATGGTATCCGACCACAGACCACGTTGGAAGGACTGGCAAAACTAAGACCTGCTTTCAAGCCAGGTGGCACAACAACTGCAGGTGAATGTTGTGATTCTTTTATCAAGGCTATCATTTTGCTAACTGTTCCAACAAGGTTGAATGTTGGGATTCTTGTATCAAGGCTATCATTTTGCTAACTGTTCCAACAAGGTTGAATGTTGGGATTCTTGTATCAAGGCTATCATTTTGCTAACTGTTCCAACAAGGTTGAATGTTGGGATTCTTGTATCAAGGCTATCATTTTGCTAACTGTTCCAACAAGGTTGAATGTTGGGATTCTTGTATCAAGGCTATCATTTTGCTAACCGTTCCAACAAGGTTGAATGTGTTACATCACTGTACAGTTGCAAAGTGCCCTGCCTGTTACCATGGCTACTCCTTGTACCGTCCCAAACCACCCCAGCACTCTATGGTTTTATGGATCCATCATCAAGGATTCAGTATAAGTACAATGTAATATAAGTTAACTCATGGGAGAAAATAAACCCCCTAGTCCCTAGTTTCCACTTCAAAAAGGTAAACAAATGTAAAGAATATTTAAGAAAAAAAAAACTTTTTCCAGTGCGCATAAAGCTTTTTGCAAATGATACATGGAAAACACAAACCCTTTCCACACCCACAAAAGAACATATTCTTGATTATGCAGTCATTATGTTCATAGAAATGGCAAATCATGACAAATGTACATTAAAAATAAATGTACAGAGCAGGCAGAAAAAGTCTAAGTCTAGCCTGTCAATTTGCAAGTTTAAAAATCCCAGTCAATAAAGAAAACTTTCTGTACTGATGGAAATATGTTTATTTCTGAATTAGTTACTTTTCTCCTGTGATGCCCAGGATTATTTTCAGGGAGTGGATCGGATGGTGCATGTGATTTTCCTGCTGCTGCACGTACCTTCAGATTCGCATGTTTCAAATATCAAACGAAAGCAGGTGCATGAAACAAGATATAGTGATGCAAAGTACAAACATAAATAGCACACAGCTGAAAATGAATCAAGGAAAGAAATTCATTGTACATTTATCTTGATGAACATCCTGCCATTGTTTTGATTTGTTTTTGCCAACAGGCAATGCCAGTCAGGTTAGTGATGGTGCTGCTGCTGTCTTAGTTGCTAAACGCTCCACAGCTGAGGCGGCTGGCTTGCCAGTGCTAGGATGGCTAGTCTCATTTGCTGTGGTGGGTGTACCCCCTTCTGTCATGGGTATTGGACCAGCGTATGCCATCCCTGAAGCATTGAAGAAAGCTGGGCTGTCTGTGCAGGATATTGATGTCTTTGAAATCAATGAAGCCTTTGCAAGCCAGGTAAAAGACTTATACAGTTGAACTACATCAGTGCTCAACTGGGCATTTCCATTTAAAGATAGAGTATATCATTTTTCGTTTGTGCATTTTTTTTCTTTTGAAGCAACAAAAGTGCTCAGAATGTACAGAAGGGCGCTTAACAACTAACCTGACAAAGTTTTAGCTCAGTGAATACTGCATATTCCGAGAATACAATATTCTAGGATCTCGATTTTAGTTGAATTGCACCCAAAATCAGCATCTGGGACACGTTCTCATTGAGCCGATTGCAGCTATGTGATGTGACGTACTTAACCAACGAATTGTAGCAACCGTGCGAGTCGTGTCAATGCTTGCGCGCACCCATTCATGGGTTCGCCAAATTAAAAACGAACTGCTAGACGCATCTTTGGAAATGGCCTTCTTTTGTTGTTTTCTTCAAAATGACATCATGCCGGAAAGAATACTTTCACAGGGAGTTTAGTGCCATTACTATCTTTATGCTTGTCAACAATAATTTGGTCAGTTACTTTTTGGATAGCTAGCTACTTTCTGGATAGCTGCAAATGATGTACTCTGCCTTTAAAGGGGGTCTTCTGTCAAATCTGTGCTGTAAAGTCAAAGCATTGAGTTTTGGTTTTTCTCACAGAAGTTCACTTGAACTTACAGGTGACTGAACTACAAAAAACCGTGTCAGAGCAAGATGTACATGCAACTGGTGCTAACGTCAACATCAGACACTGTGCACGAATGGCAAATAGTGCACAGGACAGTTTTCAACTGATTATGCACAAACTGGGTCCACATTTGCACAAACGGAGTGCACTTGAGTGTGGGTGCATGACAAACATCATGCTGACAATTTCTGATGGACAATTTGCATGTACAGAAAAAAAATGCACATTTGTATTAACGGAAGTGGAAAGCACCCATATTGCCCATCTAAATGTCAGTATAAGTTGACCATTGGTTCAGCTCATTTAGTTAAGTATTACAAAGTAATATTTGGGCAATATTTTTTTAATGAGGTTATGGGATTTGCCATTAACTCTAACCACTTTCCAGCATGCCTCCAGGATATGTTTGCTAGAACCCTGCCAAACGTAGCAGCATGCAACACTTGACTAAGTGACAAGCCTGTCAAATGTAGCAAGATCCATCGGGGAAAAGTCTCAAGGCCACACTGCCTCAGAGTCTGTGGTCACCGCATGCAGCAGGATGCAACTGTGGCATTGTTGAATGGAACTTAGCTCTCACTGTTTCAGAGCTGGCCATTCATGCACTGGTGTTGCATTGTGTTGCGTCTGGCAGGGTTAGGCTTAATATTGTGCTTACTGCATGATTCACCTGTTAAACCTCAGACTCATTTTCCCATTCATTTTTTTATTCTCTTTCAACTTGATAGGCCACTTACTGTGTGAAGAAGTTGGGCATACCCATGGAGAAGGTCAATCCCCTGGGTGGGGCCATAGCCCTTGGGCATCCTCTAGGATGCACAGGGGCGCGTCAGATTGCCACACTACTTCATGAACTCAAACGCAGGGGCAGACGGTAAGATCAATGAAATCAGTTTTTCCCCTTTAGCCGGTTATTTAGCCTTGCAGTCTTAAAAGCTGGTTTGATCTCAGCCAAGGGGTTATGCTGCATGTTATGTACATTTATGTGATTGCACTGACTAGAGAAACCGTTTGCAGTAGTTTTTGTCAAAATGAAAATGAGATGGAAATGTTAAATTGGGAGAACATCCAACATAACTGACCAAACATATACATTTCCAGGCCATCTTGACTTTGAAAGAAAGAAGTTCAATCAAATGCATTTCTTCACATTCAAGTGCCCTGTTACTGCAAACTATTCAAATTAGCGTGCTGATTTTCGTTGGGCAAATCAAACATCTTCTTTTCTTGCATATACGGGGTACCATCAAAGGTTTTCCATTTTTACAGGGATGAGATTGTCAATTTCAAAAAATGTCTGCAAACTGGATAAAAGATGCATTCCTTTCTATACTGATAATGTCTTACTCTCAGATTCAAAAAGTCTATCAGACACAAGACTGACAAATCTCATGCCTCACTTTACTTTAAGCTGTAACCTGCCACATGCATCAGGAATTCTGTAACAGTATTTCTTTTTAAGTTGACAGTTCAGTTCGAGGGAGATTTTGAACTTAGGTCAGGCTTTTTGAAATAAGAATATTTTGTAAACTTTTTACTTTAGGTTTCAGGGAAACACATGACCAAGGTGTTTATTCTTCAATTGCAATGTTTTATTGATTGTTTTTTTCAGAGCCTATGGTGTTGTGTCTATGTGCATTGGCACTGGTATGGGGGCTGCTGCTGTGTTTTACCACCCAGGACCACAGTAACACATTGGTAATGAGAGGAATCGGAAAACAACTCCAGATAGCCACATTGTGAACTACAAATTGCGATTAATAAGTGTAGGGTCAGGTATAGCATAGTCATCTGTCACAAATTACATAGAGCCAGAACGAATCCTTGTTACTTCAGATTTGACATTAATAACATGAATATTATCATCTTTGTCACTAAAAGATAATTATTTTTGATGAAATTTAAATGATTTTCATTGTCTTTGTGGTTGTAATTACACTATTATGACTTTTATTGAGAGAGGATAAAGACTGCCATATCTCAGTTTGCAGTCATCTATGAGGAGTGAGCATTTGTACACCAATGATATTAAACATGTTAAATCATGAGTAGACCTGTTATGCAGTCATTGTCACAGTTACTGAATTCATCTGACAAGAACGCTGCAAAGACGGGTGTTTATATGCAAAAGGTGTATAAGTTGAATTGCAAACGAAAAGTAGAAATTATTTGAGACTTTTTAGCTGTTTCGGTGTACACACCGAAACAGCTCTTGTTTTTGTTATTTTTTTTTTTCTTTTTTTTTTTTCTTCCACTTTTTTTCCCATAGGATAACACGTGTTTTCGTTCTACACCGCACTTTTGGACCTTTTTCAAATCCGATCGACTTCAAACCTGGCACACACTAAGACCACCATCTGAAGATGTGTGCCGAAACTTTTCATCATGCTGACGTCATCACGTGTCACGTGACGTCATCCTAAAAGAGCATACTTTAAGGCCCTATATCTACAGAACCGGAAGTCCGATTTGGTTCAAACTTGGTATGCAAGTATTCCGGGATGTATTATAGACGAAAATTACAGTGACGTCGTGATGACGTCATCGTGTGATTTTATTTAAATTATTCAATTTTTGGACCTTTTACTCATATCTCATAAACGGAATGTGGTAAATTCGAAATTCTTTTTGTAACATGTTTGTTAGGTCATAGATAGATGCACAAAATTTCGTAAAATGTGTGACGTCATTATGACGTCATCAAAAACGTGATTTTTTGTTTCACATATAAGGGTATGTCCGATCTTTATGAAACTTGGTGGGTAGGTAGGTATAGATAACAGCATTCAAAATCTGAAGTGACGTCATCATGACGTCATCATCTGATTTTTTACGAATTTTTCAAATTTTAATATTTTCTTCAAATTTTGCAAAAATTATATAAAATACGGTCCGATCGACTTCAAACCCGGCACACACTTATACAACCATCTGAAGATGTATGCCGAATCATGACGTCATTATGACGTCATCACGTGTCACATGACGTCATCCTAAAACTGCATAGTTTAAGTCACTATATCCAGAGAACCTGTGGTCCGATTGGGTTCAATCTCGATATACAGATATTCCAGGAAGCGTTATAGACAAAAAATTTCAGTGACGTCACGATGACGTCATCATGTGATTTTATATGAATTCTTCAATTTTTGGACCTTTTACTCATATCTCATCAATGGAACGTGGTTAATTCGAAATTCTTTTTTGCAAAAGGTTTGTTAGATCGTAGATAGATACAGAAAATTTCAAAAATGTGTGCCGTCATCATGACGTCATGAAAAATGTTTTTTTTTTCTTTACATAGGATGGACACTTTTTGTATAGAATATGCATGTACATGTTCATTCGACCTGGATGAAACTAATACGGCAGTCATTAATAAAACTTTCGAAACAGCTCAGTGTTTGTCCACAAACACATTTCTAGTTATCAATTGTTATACAAGTTTTTATGTATATTTACATGTATGTGCTGTGAAGGACCCAAATGTGATATGATTACCAAATAATGTTGATAACACGGGATTTATAAAAGCAATGTTTCAAATTTGACATTCATTGAAGAGCGTAGAGAATTGAAGAAATTGTCTTTAAGTTATTGCATTTAGGTTTGTATGTTTGTTTGCTTTGGACTCATCAAAGACCAAGCTAACTTAGCTTGAATTCTGTCAGTTTTCGCGTAGCTAAACATCTAGATAATTACCTTGATAAAACACCATAATGACCTTTAAAACAAGTTACAATATAATCCTGTGTGTATGATGCATCAAGATGGTAATCAGCATATGGAACTGAAAATGTTCATAGTTTATTTAGTAGAATTTGTATTTGTCAATTGATGCAATCAATTGATGCAAAACTGTAAATTCACTGCATTGTGAATTTGGCAATAGTACATGCCATAATTCAAATAACACTTGTAAGAAACATTAACAAGAATGCAATGAACGCTTAATGAGATTTTGTACATTTTTACCACATGTAATTTATTCATGATTACACAACACAACTTAACTGTTTACATGAATATTTCACCAATAATACAATGATTAAAATACATTGTAATTGCTTAACCTTCATACTCCTGGTGTACTTTCTTAATATAAAAACTGAGGACGAAGTCTCTTAAATTTGATTTTTGTTACCACTATGCTATTACTAAATCCACATTTATAGCTATGGAATGAGGCCTGTTGGTTTACTAATGGTCATGCCTGCAGGTTTCCATAAGAAAGAAAGTCATTTTGTCGTGAAGGAATGTGTACATCAGACTCATATGAACTTGAAAATTGATAATTTCTAACATTCTCATTTATCATTTTTTGGGGTACTTTCCATTGAGTTGATAAAAAGAGACAAATGGTAATGATTTGATATCCTCGCCTGACCCGTCAGACACACAATGCATCGTCATAAAACTGAGACACACACATAAAAGATTCCCAAAAATGTACAATTATAAAACCTTTTCAAAGTTCTTGATTTGGAATTGTCACAACACTTGATACAGCCTACCTTCATTTATGCAAAGCATTTATAAAGTGAATAAGCACACTGCAACATAAAAACTGCAACAAGCTAAACGGATATTCAGTGCCCAAAAAGGCCGACAACTTGTACCTGACTGTACAGCCAATATATATAATTGCATTTATAAATTATTCACTGCCACACTGATGACGCCCGACCAACAGAACTAAATGTAAAAAAAAATGTAAGAAAATACAACGTGAATAAAATCGACAGATATTCATAGCCCACATGAGCCAACAGACCATTGATGAAATGTGAATCATGCAATCAACAAAACCTCCCCCAAGCATAGATTGCAATACTACCAACAGGGGTGTGCAGAGCTCAGTTTTTGAGAGCACATGGCTTCCAAATTTGTATCTATACTAAATCTTTTAGGTTCAAGTAATACAAGGATTAAGATTGTAGTTTTGGCTGATGGTAAGCTACAAATGAATACTTTGTGCGGTTACTGTCAATAACAACCAAGGGCCTCAATTGCTTCTCAAAGTGTGGGAAGGGGGGCGGCAACGACGACATACCTTGATCAGAACTAATGAGAGCGTGAACCCATATTAGATTCTAGATGCTCTGTGGTGTGATCTCAGGCAATTAATGACCACTTTAACCACTTTTCTTGAGTGAAAGATCATTAAACATTGTCATTTTAAACACTTCAAAAAAAAAGTGAAATCCTCCAACCCAATTAAAAAAAAAGGGGGGGGGGAGACATTTCCCTCCCCCACCGATCGACACCCATGATTACCTGAGATTTTGAGATGTAGATCTTTTGTGTGGAGTAAAAAAATAAGAGTAAAATCTGCCGCGAGCCAATGTGACCCATCAGGCCGGCGTTTATCTCCAGTTTCAGTAGCATGAAACGACTGAGAATATTTCCAACCCTGGATGGGATGCTAGTCCATTGCAGCTTTTTACTCCCCAGCTAATGCCAGTACCCATTTAGATTCCTGGGTGAGAGAGGTAAGTGGGGGTGACGTAGCTCGCCCAAGGACACAACATATGACCAGCAGCTGGATTCGAACCCCTGATCCTCTGATCATGAGTCACAAAACCTAACCACAAGGAGGTACAACCATTTTTAGAGGGGTGTTAGGGTACAGTTTTATGCAGGTATTTAATTAAACATGGACTTCTCATTTGCATCTAAATACGGTACTTTGATTAATCCTCTATTCCATTTATACACATTGAATTTGTATAAGCAACCATTCACACAAATCTAACCTAATTGCTCCTACTATATCACATAAGTATGAGCCTTTTTATCACAATGATCCCAAAGCAACATGTTGTACATTAGACTGCTGCTGTCCTGTCCGTTCCCTGACCTTTCACCTTGCCCGAGTCCTCTCCAGTTCTTCCACGATTCCTGTCAGGCGCTGGCGTGCTTTCTTGGAGCTGACAGCACACGTAACAAGACTGAGAAGCTGCTTGGCTGAATACTCCTGCAAATACAAATGGATGCAAAATGATGAGGTGTAGAAGATAAAGAATGAACAAACACATACGCCATACTGAACATTGGGCACTAGACTGCACACGTACTCCCTCAAAGGCGAGTCAAGAGTCACTTGCACAGTGCACACAACAAAGATGCTACAGGCATGCTACAGGCTCGTGTACATTCAGATCATTAGATGTGGGCACTCCACTTCCCATGCCTGTCAACCTGAGAAGCTACGCATTGCGTCCACACAAGGACCTTTTGTGTATGATTACATCCAGCATAGACAGCCTGAAATTGCTGTATTAACAAATATATAATACGAGGCGTCCTCAATGTACACCCTAAACACACCCACATATACACACAGGCCTACTTTACATACCCTTTGTGGACATTCCTTTGTTTTCGCACAGTTAAGGAAACACATATTTTACTCACACTCTGAAAACTCAACCCTATTTTTTTTTCTATGATTCCCTCGAGTGTTTCTCTTCATTTTGCGACGGATAAACCTAACCCAAAAATGCCTCTGAACCTGTTTTCCAGAGATCTAGGGGGAAACTTTATATGGACCTGGCTTAGTCCACACAAGGTTCACACAACCTGCATTATGTGGACTTGTTTTGTTGTCAGGTCCACATAAAGATGGTAAGGTTGGTACACACACATACACCTTTTTTTCTTTATAGTATAGCGGTGACGGTGATACCAACAACCTTTTGTGGACCCTCCGGTGTTATTTTTATGGCAACATTCAACCTATACTACTTTTTGAACTGTATGAATAAAATGTGACCAGTTCCTTTGCAACCATCAAGTTTAAAAAAAAATTGGTATTTGACTTACCCTATGGTCTTTAATCCATTGTTCCATGTCAGCTTCAGATAAATAATATGCCTTGACGTAGGTCTCAACAAACTCTTTATCAGGAATGGGTCTGAAAGTAAAAGGGATATGATTTCTCATTGGCTCTGTTCTTCAGCTTGGTTGGCTTCCATGAACACGCACATCTAGCTTATCTTTCATCAAGATTGCTATTTTTGTCGCCATATAATACTGAATAAATTCTTCTACCAATTGTACACAGTCTCTTGAAAATTGAGATAAGCTTACATGTGCGTACACTGCGGTACCACACAATAAGTACCGTAATTTTCGGAATATAAGCTGCTCGGATTATAATCCGCAGCACGCACAAATCTGCAAATTAAGATTTGAATTCAGGTTTAAGCCGCACCGGTGTATAAGCCGCACCGACCGCAGCGGTTTCAATTTTGTAAGGCCTCCAAATTCTAGTCAAAATGCTCTGAACCAATTCCATTTACACTACGAAAACTATAAAAAGGGCCACAAAAGTTATATCCAATCATTTACAGTTGATACTCTTACAAACAAATATAAAAATTGATGATGAGAAATAAACACCGGGAATTGCTGCCGGCTGGCCTGTCCGGTCCCGGCCTAAAATTAAGCACATGGCACGGCAGGCTGCGCCGGCGCATGACAACATTTTTCCCGCAGCACTTGAGAGAGTATGCAACCCACCCTCTTCATCTGACGGGAGCGCTACAAATCTTGCTTTGTGGCAACAGATGCTGATTTGTTTTGTCCTAAGAATAAACAGGTCCTTTATTACAACAAAACTTATCAAATTGTTGCGAGTAGAACGTCAAAAATGCAAGTTTCGATCGTAACTTTCTTCGAAAACATTCAACATGATGCTGGAATTTTTATGGACGAATCCATTAATTTCTTAAGGAGTGATTGAGCCCCTATTTTGAGTTTAACGTTTCTTAAATACATTTCAAGAAAAAAATTATATTGTGCCGCTGAACAACTGATTATCGAATACAGAAATGTTTTTAACTCCATAAAAAGTTTTAGTTGTCTTTTTTCTTTTATTAAACAGCGAAAATATTGGTAATTATTGTTCCCAAGAAAGTACACCCCTTTATTACCAGAAATGGTGTGGTCCGCAAGCGCATGGGGCTGGGAATGCAGGCTAGCAGCACTAGTATCACCATACGGCTGGTCGCAAGCTTCGAAGACCGTGAGCTTTCACTCACGCATGGCCGGCCGGCTTGCCATAACATTTACCGCTCGGTACCTTTTCATGGGACGTGCTTTCGGTTTGTTAATGACGTTCTTAATTGATAATTCATTTCAGCAACACATCTTTTCTTATTCCAGTACATTACATACACATTTTGAATCTTATTTTTATTCTTCAAGCAGCCCTGCGTATAAGCCTGCGTATAAGCCGCAGTAAACATTTTCACGGGCAAATTCAATGTATAAGCCGCGGCTTATATTCCGAAAATTACGGTACACACTTTGCGTATACTTATTCAACAGTAACAAAAACAACACACACACAGACTGTATCGGAAACTATATCTGTGAGGTTAAAACCTTATGTAATTACCCAAGGGGTATATGCACACAAAAACAGGGAAATGAGACTCTTCTAAAACCTGTTTTAGACTGGCGTTCCAGAGTCGCACCAAACAATTTAGTATTAGAAAGAACTCATCAGGTCAACTCAATAGATTTTGGTTTTAAAACAGACAATGTTTCTGTGAGCTCCATGCTGTTTCATATGTCAAACTTTCCATTTAGTTAATTCAAATCCTTGGAAATATTTTGTTTGGCATGACTCTGAATGCCAGTCTGAAACAGTTATATGCTGACAAATAGTAGTAAGTACTCTGTGAATACAACTCCTATGCCGCAGTGTATGTTGGAAATGACCATTGAAGTTGGAGAGAGTGGCTACTTTGATAGAAATCATTTCACAGATGTTGTACAAGACCAATTAACTCTTTCAGTGCCAAACTCGTACATGTACGAGGTATATTTGTTAGTACAAAAGCGCCAACCTCGTACATGTACGAGGTAATGTTCGTAGTTAAAATTGCCAAACCTCGTATATGTACGAGGTAGAGTAAATATGTTATCAAAAGGGGGCGCTCTTGCTCTTTCTAATGGTACCATTTTCATGCATGTACGACCTGTATTTATTTTTTCATTCGAGTTCTTGCGAGAGGGCACAGCACTAAATCTCGTATTTTCTGCAAAAAGTGTGGAATTCCCCTGTGTTCAGGCCAGTGTTTCAGGGTGTATCACTATGTTTGTGACTACTTTTGACTTTCCAATATATCAAGGATATACCAGAGAGCAACAACAACAAATTTAGTGAGTAAAACTTATTTATTTTTTTTTTTTACAGAATTTCGAAGTTGGGCACTTAGGGTTAAACTTTTTAAATTTCGCGGGCACTGAAAGAGTTAACATCTAGTATACCATACCCCAAAACATGTACAAAAGTGCAAATAACCCCAGAGTTTTGCCACTAAATGTTCACCGAGTCCCAGGTCACATGATGATACCTACCTGACTTCAGTGAGCTTCTCTAGTTTGAGGAGAAACTGTTGGAAGTCCAGCTGCATCAATGCACGCCCCTCATTGCTACACTTCTTAGCACTGGCAAACCTTGTCAATAGAAAGTAAGAATAGTGGAATGTTGGGTTCTTTCTGCCCTGGCAAGCTCAGAAGCAGGGTGGTCCAGTTACCTACACTAGATGTCTACACTAGTCAAGACATCTGCATAAACAGGAGGTCGTGGATTCCCTGTCTTGACCAAGTAAGCTTGTGAATTGTTGTCTTGCAAACTCCTGGACAGCACTGAGTATACAGTGCTTATAAACTCATATTGCTAAAGGCCAAACTTGATATTCAAATTTACATCACTTGATGCAAAATTGAAAAAATATGTACATGTTAGATGTACACTGTGCTACCTACAATGTATCTGATCATTGTTGAAAATAAGTATCCGAGCCATGTTTAATTCCTCATATAACTTTACAAACATTAATATCATAACAATTTGTAACATGTACCTTTGTTGGTGTGTGTAGGCTTGTCATTTAATAAAACTTTGTTCAACCTAATAGTGTCATAAAAGAACAGGTCTGTGTGGCATTGTGGCACGCCATGGTCCAATGGTTTGAACCCTGGCGGGGAACATGGTGCTTGTGTTCTTGGGCAAGACACTTTACGTTAATTGCCTCTCTCCAACCAGGAGTACAAATGGGTACCCGTGAAGGTAGAGACCAGATTGCACTGATCTCGAGCTGCTGCAAAAACTGGTCTCATGGCCTGATGAACAGGGGTAACTGTGAAGCGCTTGGAGACCTTTGGTATAAAGCGCTATATAAGCACCACATTGTTATGTACTATAGCCCTAACTCCCTAGCATGATTTACTAGGAACCATACTCATCCTGGCAAATTCCAACACCATATTATGGGGAAACTGCACACATATTTCCGACTCTGATTCTGGAGGTGTACCAACCCAATGTAAAAGACTGTCAGTTTAGGGGTACTGTACCCATCCTGACAGCTTCTAACAAAACATGCCGTTTGGGTTTGATGGGTTGAGTTCTGTTAGGGTTAGGGGAGAGTAGTAAAGTATGTTGTTTAAGGATACAGGCGCTTGGAACAGGATTTGAAAGCAATATCTAAAGCCCTCAATCAGTGTATCAGTTTATAAACAGCCTTTACATCTTTCTGCAAGCGTTTTATCAAGACACTGTACTCACCCCTCCACAAATGTACGGTTGGCCAAACGCACAAGATGACCCCAGAGAATATTGTAGACTGGAACTGGGATGGATACACGTCTGTGTTAAAAAGAAAGGGATATGTTTGAATGTTATACTGTGGAGAAACATAAAAGATGATCATATTTTGTAGGTCAAGTATTGGTCATGTGAAGTATTTCAGACGATAATGGATGACTTCCATGGACACCACACGATATATGTTTATTGTGGCATTAACACATAATGATGGTTGTCCAAACATAGGAATATTTCATCTCCACTACTCTGGACATGAGATCAAGTGTCTACGCACACAAAGGCCCTTCTGCTTTGACAAGGCAGCTTTGTAAGTGAAGTATCTAGACTAATCTGCTGACAGTATTGAAATGCAGAAGGGCACCAGTATTCAAGTAACCTTGGTGTATCCGGTCACACAAAGTTAAAATAAAAACATGATCATGCTTACATGTGGATCACATAAACCAACAAGGCCTGCAAAAATGGACACTCAGGAAGAACCTGTACTATCTACAAATCAGTAACTAATCCCAAGTTTGAGTATAAGTCCACATGTCTTTGCTGCGCATCATGTGTGGATATACCACGGTCAAGGTTCTAGCTATAGTGGGCCAAATACAGTAATCACTTATGTATGGATCCCATTGGTGGGGGATGGGGGGGGGGGGGCTTTTTAAAGTGGGGGGGAATATCATATCGTTTGGTCCCCCCCCCCACTTTTTTCGTAACCCTCCAAAAAAAATGTAGCCTATATATGATTCTATAGCTCAGAATAGCTGATTCAATTACTCCAAACCTAAAAATGATGTTTGAATTATGATCTTTTGCTCAAAAAAATGTGATAGAGTGGTCAGAAATTGCCTCAGATCGCACCACAGAGCATCTAGGATCCAAAATGTTTGAAGCCCTTAAGCGGGCCCCAAACCCCACGCCGTTAGGGCTTCGCGCTTCGCATTAGTTCCAATCAACGAATGTCCCCCCCACTTTTGAAAAGTGATTGACGCCCTTGATGGATTCATACATAGAAACTTCAGGGCAATTTCTGTTGTGTGCATGCACTTCATTTCAGATATTTTTGTGTATGAGACTTTGCACATGTATACGAACTGATGCATATGAATGCACACCAATGGACAACCCCCTTTTCTTTTGTGGGTTGTATAACCTTTTATCAATAAAATGCACATTTCTGTTACACATCTTTATACTGGGTGATAATAGTTTCCATTTTATGAGGTTGATTACACAAAATTTATGCTAAAAAAAGGGATCATCTAGGATTATTTTGTTGCTTTGGCTGATGTTTTATGCTTAAGGATACACTTACAAGCATATTTGTGGTCAAGTTATTCAAAATTACTCACTTGCCCACTTCATCCAACCGTGCGCTGAATATGACAAAATCCTGAACAGAAGTGAAAAAACATTCAATATTAACTTTACAATGAGTGCATGTTGGTAATGAATACAAATAAGGATGACATTTGAATGGGAAGGGGTGACTACAAAATGGCTGACCGACCACTCCTGGCAGTAACTAGCCTTTGACAAGGTCACTGTGACTATATTCAGTTTCCCTTTGGACTGTGTTAGGTTTTTGGTTTCAGCACACATACATGACACATACAGACTTCTGCCAGCAACTTATTGGGAAGAATAAGTTGCTGAAACTTTATGAATAGTGACCCTGCCAAATCTAAATTCATCTCATGGCAGAACTTTTTACCGGTTATCTGCCCTGCGCAGAATCTTCCATAAGTTGGGTGGCGCTAAACACCATTTGACACACAGGGCCACTGCTCTATGGGGACAAGACTGCACACCAATTTACTCTTTATTCTAGAACTAGACTAGTTGAATTATGGTTGACTGGCAATGGTTTGCATGATGCAATAGTCAAACTATGGTTAACAATAGTTCTTGCTCAAACTTCCTCCGATAGACATTGGATGCCTATTTTGAAAATTATAATCAACTCAATCAATTTTTATGGACTATACTTCCTAAAATTTGCTAACAGGATTTGTTTGTGATAAGGATCACACCTACTCAAGCATGCAACTGGGAATTTAGAAAAAATGATCGAGGAAACTCTAAAACAAACTAGAGTTTGTAAAGTGTTTTTCAATTTGTAATGGCATTTTCATGAGAAGTAAAAAACGAGGAAATCAGCAGATCAGAGGAAAGGTTGCATGCCTGCATACTGCCGCATAAAAAACTGTGATTTTGTGAGTTGCTGTGCATGTGTATACAATACCATTTGAATGAGCTAAAGCAGGCTGGCATTACTTCATAAAGAATACAAAATACTAAATTGGGAATGTACCTGAAGCAGTACATCCACATAGGTGCTGTGCTGTGACATGATGTCTCTGATGTCCCATTTGACTGTACACATGAGTTGAAGCATGCGCTCGAAGAGAATACATCGAGAAGCTACTCCACGATAGACAGGACGACGCAACTCACTGGCTACACTTACAGTCTGTAACAAACCAACATCACATCATCATACAATTGCATTACTAAACTTCTTATTTATCTAACTGAGAGAAAAATCTCCAGAAGCAATGAGTATGAAAGAGATGAAGTCTGCTTTTCATAAAGCATACATTCTTTATAATGCAATGGTGTTGGATTTACACAAAACACAGGCTGTATTCTTTTTACAAACTATTTCACAAACTTGGCCTGGCTTAGCCTTTAATTTTTGTCCAATTGTCTCAATCATAATAATCACATGCATAATTGACATGTTTCATCACCAGTTATGTGTGATTAAAACAATCATTGAAGTCGCAAACACAACTTTGCAAAAACTTGTTTCATCTTTCCACAACCTGTACACAAAAAGAACAGTCATCGAAATAAACTTTGCAAGTCACACAGAATTTTTTCTGAAATCAGTTCAGACATTAAAATATTTCCTCTGTTAAGTTTAAAACACAGCTGAGTAGAGTTTGGTGTCAGTGTCTGCTGTTCATATATTCAAACACTTGACCTAATGTCTGAAACATTCTCCTCTCCCCTCAAAAAACCTTCTTAATCAGTACAGAAAGGATAAAAAGGGATACCTGTGAATAAAACTGTTGCAGGAATGGTTTCTTGGAAGATGGAATGACTGACTCCAGATGAGGCTGAAGAAGTTGGAATTGTTCTGCTAGGAAAACACTTACAAACAAAAAGGAGAAAAAATATTGAATCAGTTCTATATATCTGTATTCTTAAGGTCAGGGTTCAACTTTGGATACGTGACATCTTGACAAATAATATTTGAAGGTTTGTACTGTGAAGTGAGCAATAAGAGAAGTTTGCGCTTGCACCTTACACCTTGTGACTTTAACAAAAAAAATACAAGCTTTGTGCATGTATCTGATGAAGGAACAAATGCAGCTATTATAAGCTGATATGTGTATTTGTCTTCTTTCTATTCTTACAGTGATTCTGTTCCCACGATCCTCTCTGCTAGTCCATGTAGCTGCTCAATTCCAGTCAGTTCTACAATGGGAGACACATGAGGGAAGCCTATACGCTCCTGTCAGTAAAAAGGCACAAAATAGGCTGATTATATCATCACACTACTATAAAGTACAAAAGATGTATGTGTATTCATAAGTTGATCGTCCACAAGTTGATTGCATGCGAAGCACGCCAACGCTAGCAAAGCTTGCAAAGTGGCGAAGCCTGCCAAGCAGGCCAGGCAGCGAAGCCACCTACTCAATGAAGCGGGTGAGGTGAAACCTCGTTAATATATGGCACTGCATGCTAGCAAGACAGTCTAATGTTGTAAGATAGTGCTTAATCATCATTGATGTTCGTGGCTTGTGTTCATGAAAAAAAAGAGTCTCTTCATTTCTGGGCCTCATGTTGTGTGAATAAAGAGTGCGACTGGTGGCATCTTGGTCCAAAAGGTTTGCACAATTAGTACATACATTATCTACACATACATACTTGTGCATACATTATCGACACATTGTATACTAGTGCATATACACACATACTGGAATTTGTATCTTTGTGGAGTCATTTCTTTGTTCTCGTGTACTAAAATTTTGAGTTAGAAAATCTAATTTCAAAATGCTCCTATTTTAACCAGAAATAATTTCTGGGCTGAAATTTGGACTTAATATCCCTTAGGCTAGAAAAAAAAGTCTTCGGTTTCTGGTATGGAGCTTGCCCCAAAAGTGGTGCGGCGACGCAGCTTTTTTTTTTCTTTTTACTTGTTTTTTCCGTCAAATGTCGGCTGATGACTACAAATGGTGCCCGACTAAATTGAGTGCAAAATGTATCGGAGCCCAGCGAGGCCACATAAAGCTTATACTCGACCGTAACCCCATCTAAAAACACGTTAAAATTGTGCAGCAGCAGGATTCTAGTCAAACCAGTGAGTTTGACGGTTTTGAGACATCATCTAACATTGACAAAAAACTTTTTAATTTTGCCGACGTGCATGGCTACGGCAACGTGCGCGCGCAGACCAGAAACCGGAGCCTTTTTTTTTGGCCTTACATAAAATCCTTCATTTTGCGACTGATCAACACACCTTGGAAATTCCTAGTTTTTGAGTAAAATCCATATATCTATTTCGTGATAACCTTGTGGAGACGTATTCACATATAGAAATACAAATGTTTGTTCCCTATTATACATGTCTCCACAGGGTACCATGTATCAGATCAAAATGGGTCCTGTGTGTGTGTGTCAGCATGTCTCACCCTGTTTTCCATGGGGTTTGGCAGCATGCCCGGTGGGGGTTCATGCTGGATCATGTTGTCACTGATGCGCTTGAGGGTGGTGCGGATTCTGTTGCTCAAGCTCAGCCCAAAAGAGTCATTCTGGAAAAAAAACACATAAAATGATACACGATTAACTCTATAAAAACCTTATTTGAGGAGACGCTGGGAAATCTTCAAAGGAACATTTTGATTTAAAAATGATTTATTATTAATAATGATACCTGACCATGATTTCTGATTGGATTTGCATGTTACTGCATAAAAAAATGAGTCTGGTGCCTGACAAATCAGTGTCTGGTACCTAGATATTCACATGACCAGTGAATGGGAAGCCTGTGACTTCACACGCTTCTTCTATTGACACAATAATCATTTCAAGGATTATGCTGAAAATATCCTATATAATTTACCATGTCAGTAGCAAAGAAGGTGTACACAGCAAATAGGTAGTAATCAAAGAGCTGAGACATACACAGAACCACATCAAAGGCTATCGGCTTGAGAACTGCCATCATCTGCATGTACTTGCCTGATGGAAAAGTAGAATGAATGACTACTTGTTAAACATGTGCAGAAACAATACTTGAACTTTTGTAAAGTCCAGTTTATTGAAGACCATGCAACAGACCTTTCTTAAAGGTAGAGTACATCATTTGTGCATTTTTTTCGTTTGAAGTAACAAAAGTGCTCAAAATCTAAAGAAAGATGATTAATTACTAACCTGATGAAGTTTTAGCTCAGTGAATGCTGTGGAAAACAATTTTCTAGGATCTAGATTTCAAATCAAAAGTTGCCAAGCCATGTTTTGAATTGCGCCCGATATCAGTGTCCGGGCCACGTTATTATTCAGCCGATTGCAGCTGCGCGATGCCACGTGCTGAACTGACAGTGATAGCAACCCCGCACGTGTGTGCGTCGTGTCAATGCTTGAGCGCACCCATTCACGGCTACGCCAAATTAAAAACAAACTACTTACGGAAATTTCTAAAAATGCGTCTTTAGATGCATCATTCTTCAAAATGACAGCATGCCAGAAAGAACAATTTCACAGGGAGTTTAGTGCCATTACTATCTTAAACCAAGTAAGCTTTTCAACAATATTTTCGGCAGTTACTTTTTGGATAGCTGCAAATGATATACTCTACCTTTAAACATTAAAAGCTATATCCTTATTAAATGGAAACTTGATTGCACCAGACAAGGCAAGCTGATCCCACAGTGCACAATTCTATTCAACTGATTAAGAACGGCCAATAAGCTGCAGTAGTAAGGTGATGGAAATTCACTTTCGCCGTTTGGATGGAGACATGTATCACAAAAGTATATAAAACCAGCATTGCCAGACTCATGCAGATGTGGTGCAGATGCTACATGACACACATGAATAGACAAGCCTCGTGAAGCTGCTCACAGGCCAGTGTAAATCACAAGGGGCAGTAATTTAGTGATATAGGCAACCAGTCTAATTCACAAGTGAGTTGGTGAGTCAGTCACGTGAGGTCAAACGAGGACTGTAAAACGAGGACTGTAAAACGAGGACTGTAAAACGAGGACTGTAAAACGAGGACTGTAAAATGAGGACTGTAAAACGAGGACTGTAGACTGGCCCTCTGGGACCAGCAAAAAATATCATTTGTTTTGAAAAGTTCAACACGGAAATTGACTGCAGCGGGTTTGAACCTGCGACCCCCAGATAACCATTCCAGTGCTCTACCAACTGAGCTATCCAGCCCCATGTCTGTGGTTCCCCAATTGGTCAATATCTTTGTTCAAGTGGTGCTAGTTAGAAGCCAAAAATATCATTTCAAATATTTCTTAGCTCTAAACATCATCCACACAAATTTCAAGATAAAGAATAGAGTTCACAAATGAGGAGTTTGTCGCATTAGGCAATGTTCCACTTTTTCCCTTACATTATGTCAACTTTATGTACCAACTTACCAAATAGTCGTAGAACATTGAGTGTTGTGTTGGCAAGTATTGGCACTGGGCCCTTGTTGAGTGATCGCCGCTTCCTGAGACTATAAAAGAACACACATTCCTACTTGCTCATTTAACCCATTATCACCTGTACTACATTGTATTACATTGTGTTTATTCACTGAAAATCAATAAAACCATCAGCCCGTTTCACACTAGAGCCTCACAACCTAGGTTGAACTCAACCGTGGGCGAACCCAGTGCTGCCCTGGGTTGAGTTTTTGATTTTTCAACCCCGCTCTCAACCCCGCATCATTTCACACTTATTGCATGCAAATCAAGCCTATCATGCTCAGTTGCTATTTTAACTCGGGTTGAAAATCTCAACCCTGCCTGGAGCAGGGTTGACTTCAACCTGGGGCGAACTCAGTCTTGGGGTTGACGCAGGGTTGAAATTCTCTAAGTGTGAAACAATGCATGTTTTCAACCCTGCGTCAACCCTGAGATTTGTCAAGTGTGAAAAGGGCTATAGAGTGCTGGGGGGGGGGGGGGTGTTAGGCGCTACAGTGAGTAAAGGTCTGATACTTTTCGGAACACACTAAGCCTTGTTTTATGATGTCCAGAGATATGGGTCCGTGCACAAGTACCCCCTTCATCACTCCCCTAAGAAAGGGGTTGTTGAGGGAGACATTCAAACGCATTGCCGATGACACCTGATGCTGACACAAAGATGCTATAGCTTGGTGCACATTCAGAATAACATAAGTCTACATCCATGAACCACTGCGCTCATGGGGGTGTCCCACTCCACTGGGCTCTCAACAGTGGTAAAAAAGTGTCCTCTCTTGTTGATGCATGTGCCCATATGGCTGCTGTAATAAAGCTCTGTATTAGGGACCACTGAGAGCAGTGGAAGGCATTCAATCAAACTATGTCATGTATGTAATAATAATGACAAATAATGCGTATTTATAAAGTGCATGTATCCACCATTTTTGTTGCTGAAGGTGCTACATCATTATTACTGTGCTCATTGGGCCAATGAAACATTCCAAAGGCAATCTAAGCTCCCTGGGGAGTATACAGCTCCATGCTGCCATTTCAGCGCAAAGCAGCTAAAATCAACCACAATAACCAACTCTACCCTCACAGGTACCCATTTACTCCTGGGTGGGGAGAAGCAATGAGTGACAAAGTGCCTTGCCCAAGGGCACACGCACCATAGCCACAGGCTGGACTCGAACCCACAACCTGCAGAATTATCCACAAGACCATGAATTTAATGCGCCAGACGACGAGGCCACGGCACTCCACAATCATGGATGGACATGATGAAGAAAACCTGACTCTATCCACTGATATTATGCTCAATAATGTAGGAACACATACAAGACTTGCAGGAAGTCCATTTTCAAGCATCCTCCTACCTTCTTGTAGGTTTCTCTTCAGTCAACTCATCAATGAAATCTTGTTTGAGCTCATCGGGTACATCACTGTCATCGGAATCGTCATTGCCATGAGACTCATCATCAATGTCTTCAACCTATGCCACAAAATGCAAACCTTCCATCAAAACATGTGCTTCCAAGATGAATTTGTAAACTAGCAATATAACATATTTAAAGCAAGATCCAAGTTCTATCAGGCTAATTCACCTATAGGTACCAGATGCTAGTACTGCTATGCACCACGGATGCATGTGGGTATTCACATATGCTGCAAGTATGTGTGAGCAGTCGACTATTGCATGGATTACCCATTCAGTGAGAAGATGGGGTAGTGTGCTCCCACATGGAATGCATGCAACCATGATTCCACACACTCATGCTTGGACTCTTCATACTTCAAAAGTTCATACAGTGCATGACCATGACCAAGCTCCTCGTAAACTTCACAATGTGTTACTGAATATGTATGAAATATAGTACATGTATAACAACCATCACATGGTTTATTTTTATGAAACATACAAAACAAAGGGTAACTGACTCAGTGCATTATAATAATATCAAAGTTTAAAATGTTTAACTTTAGAATTCATTAAGGGTTAACCCTTTCCTTCCCATGGGCGACTTTTGTCGACAAGAACTACCCCCCTGCTGGTTCCCATGGGCGACTTTAGTCGACCAGGAAACCACACACAAAACACCCTCAACACAGATATATTCACTACTTTTCAGAAAGTCGGTATGTTGATATGTTTGGCCGCCCATACATCAACTATATACTAGCTGAAAGAGTGTTTTCGGATCTTTCTAATGGTGTAGTTTATTTATAAGGTTACCATTACAAAAAAAATGAGAAAAGTGCTTCAGAAGTATCCATGCACAATTTGAGGTATGGAGTGCCATTTGGTCATGTGGTAAAATGGCTTGCAGTTTGATAAATGGGACCAGATGAACAAAAAGGCATAACTTTCTTATATTTGCGCATATGGACTTCATTTTTACATCAGATAAAAGAGTAAGGTTCAAGGAACAAACTTTACACACAACACCTATGATTTTAATCACTCCTTGGCAGTGAAAATCGGGGTTGAAAAAAGTAAGTTTTGGACTTGTGGTCACTTTTTTCACGCTCTAGTGATTTCCGCATGACTGAGCAAACAATTCGGTCCTGGGGAGAGCCAAGTCAATAAACAATGTGGGCATGAAAGGGTTAATTTAATGTGGATAATAGATCGTAGTTCCCCTCGGTACTGAAAGTTGATAAGCTAGTTCCCTTGGCTTGAACCTTGGAACTCGTTTGTCAACTTCTGCAACCTAAGGGAGCTTACATCAACTGTCCATTCTCAAACCATGTGATAGTAGTTGACTATTTCCTGTACTCACGCCATTAGTTCCAATCATATCCTCTGCTTCTTCATCATCCATCCGTTGGTCAAATGGACTCCCATGATCACCAAATCGGTTGAAGAAACTATCTCTAGTCCCACTCCTGGTGGAAGGACTGGATTGATTGCTGGAATCTCCCCTAGGAGCCATGCTCGTCAGTCGGACGAAACGGAACTCATGCAGGTTAGTTATGGTGAAGTTGGCCTTGACAGGGCATAGTTCCCAACCTTCATTCTCTAGGAACATCTGGAGTTCATCAAGGCGGGACCTGCAGGGATGGGGGGGGGGGGAGGATCATCAGACTATTGTAGCAGGTGTAGCTGTAAAGATATACTTAGAGGAACTTTGTCTCAGGGAGCAGCAAATTTAAACCCTCGTTACTGCGATTAATAACTTCCATAATGAAGTTTTACAAGATATAGAATAGGATCCCGGTTGCCATAACTCTGAGTTTTTGGAATCACTGAAACCTCCATTACTTGCTCACGAAATTGAACGGTCGAAATCAATCAATTGACTGGTTTTAACAGGTAGAAATACTATGCCTACATGAAGCAGGACTGACTTGCTGTGACTGTTTATGCATTCAGACACAGTAGGTTTTGACTATTATGTGATTGATCAGCCAGCAGTACCTACTTGCTTTTGTCTGTTGATGGAATTTGACATGACACAGTGCCTATAGGAAATTTGATCTGACTGTTAATGACTAGCTTGCATATAAAGGCATGGCAGAGGAAGTGAACTGAAATTTTGATGTCTGTGACTGTTCAGATGGTAGGACGGCTAATGGTTATCAGATAACGAGGCTTCACTTCACCCGCTCGCACGGGACGCGGATGCATTATTTCTGCCTTGGCGAATGAATGCCTGCTTTCGGGCAACTGCACACTTCACGTACCATCAACTGTGACCAACTTGCAAACACACACACACATACACACGCATGGGCTTTATACTATAGCGGTGATAACACATCACCCACATTGATTGATCGAGAGTGAGTCACATGTCATTGACAAATTTACCTTCTTGCTGAGAACAGCCCACAAAATATATATCGGCTGCCTCACTCTGAGAAAGTACTATACGCATAGCAACAAATGTAGCCACCGGAAGTCTATATGTGCACATGCATTTGGGTGCACATTGCGCCTACTGTTCCCATGGGCTACAGAGTTGGGTTCAAACATTTCCTTAAGGGGTAGTTTTGAAAAGTGCACGTAAATTTTCAACATATTTCAAACTGAAATAGAAATACATTTGTATTGGATTTTGGTTCAATTAATCAGACATCCCTAAAAATTAAGCAAAATCAACGGTAAGGCATTATAAAACAAACTTGAGTTCTTAACTTGTTGTGCAGTAAAATCTGCCTAACTTGGAGATCCATAAAAGTGTTCTGTTGTCCTGAAGTGAAGCCAATGGAAAACAGAATGCTCCATTGGATCACCGAGGGAGGTTAGTATACGTATTACCACACCACTGCCAGTGCTCAATATCTGTATACTATGTACAATTATGTAGAATAAAACTCTTACTCCTGGCTTTCCAATTCATGCAACTTTGTCCATGTTTTGCAAACTGAAAAAGGCAACCCTTCATGGACCAGGTTGTTGAATCACAGAAAAAAAAGTTTAGGTTCAAATGTGATTGTAGTTTCAAGACAAAGGTATGAAATAGCAAGTGCTGTTTATCGTCACAAAGATGTGAACTACATGTATAATCACTTGTTACCTGTGGTAGTTCTTGAAGTAGTTTAGACTCTGTTGTCTCAGAGAATCATGGAGACTCTCTGATTTACTCCCACAAAACTCCTCACCAACGCGAATCAGCCTACAGGAAAGTAAGAGTACAAAACAATTAGCATTAGTCCCCCACAATGTCTATTTCTTACCAATAGTGTTTTCGCATCACTCTTTTTGCTCTGATTGACTTGTGACCACAACACTGTGTTGAAAACGTTATTTGAAACTTCATGTTATTGTTTTTACTGATACTTTTAAGAAACAACAACCTGAAAAAAAATAACATGTAACTTCTAAACAAGAATGGAATGGTTAATGTATTTTTTAATGCATTTGATATTGGAATGTATCTTACCTATTGACAAGATCTAGGACATGGATGAAATCATCGTATTTGAAATTGGACAGATCAGTTCCTAGAAGAAATATCTTGACCTTCTGTTGCACATCCTGCAGAAGCAACAGGTCAATCCAGAAGAAAGTTAGTAGCATTCATTTGGCCTTGGATTTGTATTCAAGTAAATTATATGCATGTCAAGATCATCTGTTTGGGCCCACTTATATTTAAATGAAATTATTATTCTCATTTAAGCATATGTAACTTCATCTGAATGGAGTAAACTTGGTGCACTTTTCGTCACCGACACCATGAACTAACACTCACGTGTATTTACAGAGCCGTGTTATTTTCATTTCCATGAACACCCACCCGGCACTGCATGCGCGCACTCCATACATTTTATGTTTTCAAGAACTAAACACTGATCTCAATTTCACCAGTAAAAAGGTTTTTAATCAAATTTGTGAAAAGCCCACAAGTATGGATGGAATAGATTTGTGTCAAACCTTTGAAAGTATTTTTTCTCCAAATAGTATTTCCGCAATATGCTTGAGTTTCAGTTTGTGAAAACCAAAATCATTCTTTTTTGCGTCAGTGTCCGATATGCGTGCATGCATCCAGGTGTTAGTTCCTGAAACCAACATTTTTTATTATGCGGTTTTCACGAACTAACACCCAGTAACATGCGTGAGTGTTAATTCGTAAAAGTAACATGCGTGAGGTTTAAACAGGGGGGGGGGGGGGGGGGGCTTTAGCCCCCCCCCCAAATTTTTTCAGCATGCCTCCCTGAAAAAAATTCTGGATCCACCTTGCTAGCCCCCCCCCAAAAAAATATTGGCTCTAGAACCGCGCCTGTACAAGACATAACTACAGAAAGGGTTCAAGATGACAGTAGGCGTCGACTTACCTGCCAGATTCTTGTCAAACCATGTTCCAGCTTGGTCTTGATATACCGACGATTGAATGAAGCTTCCATGTCTGTCCCTACAGCTTCCTCTGAACAAAAATAAAACAAATAAACAAACAGAAAATAACCCAACAATTCATCAAGAGTCAACCCTTTTCCTGTGGACGTGGAATCCCTGAATATTTTTCTAACATTTTTAAGACCCTCCATAGCTCCTAGGGCAATTAAAAAGATGTCTCTTTCAAAAGTAGTTCCTTGTAATTTCTGGGGAACCAACAATTGTTAACATTTTCTCTGTCAAAAACACATCTGAGAATGCCCAGCTTTTTACTCAAATTCAGTGACCAGGTAATAATTATGCATCCTAAGAGGAAGTAAAGCAACAAGATGGTATATTTGTTATAAAAAGCAAATTTCCAGGTGTTTTTTCCCCACAGATGGCCACGGGGCCTGGATACAGAGCCAGTCTTGTATCTGAGCTGCCTTTATGGGGCTAAATCGTAATATGAGGCTATGGCGCATCAAATAATCTAACATATCACTTCTTAGTTTGCATAGCCACTTGTAGCAGGTCGCTAGTTTGAATAATGTGCTGAGTCAATGCAAAAAAAGCCTTCATTAGCCAAACAATGAATTCTCTCTAGAATTTCAGTAGTTTAATTTACATGATGTCTGTGGTTTGTATGTATCAAATTATTTATATTATGATTTATTTTAATGAATAGTACACAAATTGGCAGTTGCTGCAGACAGATACACTGAAGTTGCAGTGACATCATTTGCAAATGTCTACAGACCAGCATTCCTCTATGGGGACACATGGCAATGCCAGGCTGATTTCTTAGAATGGATATTTGCCTTGGCATTTTACACTGACTGTTATATGACAAGTGCATTCCTTATGTACCTATTTGCTCCTTGGCCATTGACTGTTATATGACAAGTGCATTCCTTATGTACCTATTTGCTCCTTGGCCATTGGACTGTTATATGACTGAGTGCATTCCTTATGTACCTATTTGCTCCTTGGCCATTGACTGTTATATGACAAGTGCATTCCTTATGTACCTATTTGCTCCTTGGCCATTGACTGTTATATGACTGAGTGCGTTCCTTATGTACCTATTTGCTCCTTGGCCATTGGACTGTTATATGACTGAGTGCATTCCTTATGTACCTATTTGCTCCTTGGCCATTGGACTGATATTTGACTGAGTGCATTCCTTATGTACCTATTTGCTCCTTGGCCATTGACTGTTATATGACTGAGTGCATTCCTTATGTACCTATTTGCTCCTTGGCCATTGACTGTTATATGACTGAGTGCATTCCTTATGTACCTATTTGCTCCTTGGCCATTGGACTGATATTTGACTGAGTGCATTCCTTATGTACCTATTTGCTCCTTGGCCATTGGACTGATATTTGACTGAGTGCATTCCTTATGTACCTATTTGCTCCTTGGCCATTGACTGATATTTGACTGAGTGCATTCCTTATGTACCTATTTGCTCCTTGGCCATTGGACTGATATTTGACTGAGTGCATTCCTTATGTACCTATTTGCTCCTTGGCCATTGACTGTTATATGACTGAGTGCATTCCTTATGTACCTATTTGCTCCTTGGCCATTGGACTGATATTTGACTGAGTGCATTCCTTATGTACCTATTTGCTCCTTGGCCATTGACTGTTATATGACTGAGTGCATTCCTTATGTACCTATTTGCTCCTTGGCCATTGGACTGATATTTGACTGAGTGCATTCCTTATGTACCTATTTGCTCCTTGGCCATTGGACTGATATTTGACTGAGTGCATTCCTTATGTACCTATTTGCTCCTTGGCCATTGGACTGATATTTGACTGAGTGCATTCCTTATGTACCTATTTGCTCCTTGGCCATTGGACTGTTATATGACTGAGTGCGTTCCTTATGTACCTATTTACTCCTTGGCCATTGGACTGATATTTGACTGAGTGCATTCTTTATGTACCTATTTGCTCCTTGGCCATTGACTGATATTTGACTGAGTGCATTCCTTATGTACCTATTTGCTCCTCGGCCATTGACTGTTATATGACTGAGTGCATTCCTTATGTACCTATTTGCTCCTTGGCCATTGGACTGATATTTGACTGAGTGCATTCCTTATGTACCTATTTGCTCCTTGGCCATTGGACTGATATTTGACTGAGTGCATTCCTTATGTACCTATTTGCTCCTTGGCCATTGGACTGATATTTGACTGAGTGCATTCCTTATGTACCTATTTGCTCCTTGGCCATTGGACTGATATTTGACTGAGTGCATTCCTTATGTACCTATTTGCTCCTTGGCCATTGGACTGTTATATGACTGAGTGCATTCCTTATGTACCTATTTACTCCTTGGCCATTGGACTGATATTTGACTGAGTGCATTCCTTATGTACCTATTTGCTCCTTGGCCATTGACTGATATTTGACTGAGTGCATTCCTTATGTACCTATTTGCTCCTTAGCCATTGACTGATATTTGACTGAGTGCGTTCCTTATGTACCTATTTGCTCCTTGGCCATTGACTGATATTTGACTGAGTGCGTTCCTTATGTACCTATTTGCTCCTTGGACATTGGACTGATATTTGACTGAGTGCGTTCCTTATGTACCTATTTGCTCCTTAGCCATTGGACTGATAGGATCCTCATTTGCTTCATGCCATTCAATTGTCTTGTAGTAACTCTTCATCACTTCCCATAATGCTTTGCAGAGATCCACCAGGCAGGGAATGTAAGTATCCGTGGTAACATGCTAAAAAATGAAATCCAAAGAAAGAACCTGAATCAACCACATAGTTTCAAACACTGCATGTTCAGGTTTTGTTTGACAACTCAAATGTTCTGGGTAATTCATCATTACAGAATTACAGCACTATTTTACAACTAAACTAGACCACTGATCAACACCAAATAAAACAGGTCATATGTAAAAAAAAATCTCCAGTAAATCCCTACAAATATCATGTTCACAATTCTGAAAAGCACAATGAAATGAATATCATTACAAGTTATCACACGAGCGCGAGTGGAACACGGAATAATGAAGTGCATCTGTGTCTCACATACCACAAGGCTGAAATGTTGGACACAGACGCACTACATTTTCCGTGTTCTACAAGTGCGAGTGCGATAACGAATTCATCTTCAAGCAAACTTGACGCACAGTAAAGATAGAACTAGAATGCTTTATGCGAACTTTAGCAGTTTACCGCATGCAGCTGGATTGTCGCACGTTCGCACCTTAGAATAGCGCAAAACGCAGGGTGTGATATGGACCGTGCAATACAGTACAATATCACAGTTTTGTTGCCACTGATCGACCAATAAGGATCGAGGATACAAGTTCGTTTGAAGATAATGATAATTAAAGTGTGGACTTCAATTAAGAGTCTTGCAGAAGACGGATGTAATACTTATATGGCAGCTGGCATACTCATTGGAAAAGGAATCTCAGCCTAAATATATTTGTTGCAATCCAGGACTAATACACAAAGTTTTATATTTGGTAATTCCAACAAATAACGACTTTTAATATGAGATAACAAACACTACACGTGTACAGAATTAAGAATGTGTCTATATTTAGGCGCATAAACATCAAAGGGATATTTGGTGTATACCAGCTCACAGTAGAAAAATGTATAACTGTTAGATTCACACAGTAACCAAATGCAAAAGTAAATGTAAAGGCATGACAAAATGAATAAGTAGTCAACAAAATAATCAGTTAGTGGGTTGTTATCCAGTAATGAACACTTTAACTACCAAGATGGGATAACTAAAGGGCAGTGACTACAGATTGTGAACTTACACTGCAGAGGTCCTTATATTGCATCTTCTGGAAGTTAGTATCTTCAGAGCCACTCATCAGCTCTACATAGCCCACCACGATGGTGAAAGCAGAGTTGTGGATAGCACTGGTGAAGTGCATGTGGAGTTGATCCATGGCAGTCTGGGGACAAAATTCAGATAATTTGAGTTCAAGGTTGGTTTTACTACTCAAAAAGTTGCTATTTCTATAGATTTAACCCTAACCATCCCAAATCCTCCCAAATCCTCTTTGCAAATTGGAGGAATTGGCAGGATTGAGGTTAGATGCTATTTTTACATAAAGGCAGCTGAAGGATTTTGCAGGATTGAGGTTACATCCTAGCAAAAATGCCTAGGGCTAGGATGCATACCTCAATCCTGCAAAATCCTCCAATTGGCATCATGGAAAATTAGCATATAGCCTCAATCCTGCAAATTCCTCCATTATTTCTTGAATATGGTCCGTGGAGGGGTGACCACTGCCTGAATCCTGCAAAAACCTGCGGCAGTAACTGTCAATATGTTGAGGCTTGGCCAGTGACATCCTGGAGCAGTACGGAGGATTTCAAGCATTATCCAGGCCTATATTTATGCATGGCTGAGCAACAACACAACAAGGTCCAGCCCAAGACCTTGACAAAGTGCATCCTACGGAATCAGTAACGCACTTTTGCCATGTAACCTCAATCCTCCAAATTCCTCCACTTTGGCAAAGAGGATTTTGAAGGATTCAGAGTGGTAAGGGTTATAAAAAGAATACTGTAATACTGGAATACAATTCCTCATATGACAAACATCTACATGTAAATGGTTGTTGAGGCTGTCCGAATCACCTTTATTACACCTCATGATATTAAGCTTCATCATCGGGCAATCAGGTTGGCGTAGCAGTACTTTCCTCGCCGTCCACTGCTGTGACCTTGGTTCGAATCCCGTCTGGGCCTACATGTGGATTGGGTTTTCAGTCCCTACCCTGATTCCATGGGTCTTCCCTAGAATGTCATTCTTGGGTTTTTCTCCCACCACTAAAACTGTAATTTCTTTACACATCTTCTATCAAGAGACCCCACTGGAAAGAAGTTGAAAGACTTTTGTGGGCTATCCCGGCCAATTGCCAAATAATCACAAACAAACAAACACCACAACAAACAAACAAACAAACAAACATCAAATGGCGAAGACACTCCCAGGGAAATCCCTCCAACGGAATCTGTATCATAATTTGTCTCTCATTGTAACGGTTTTTAGTATGGAACCAACAACCTCACTTGCGATCGCATTTGTTGCATAGTTGGGAGTCTAATAGTCCAGTGGCACGACACATTGGATTAAAGCTCCAAATTGTGTACACTTACTGTATAGGTCCCATAGAAACATTCTATACTGGGGGGGGGGGGTTGCCTGGTTTGGGTGGCCTAGGTCAAGGGATGACCAAGTTCACACGGTGAAATACTGTATAATAGGGTGTAGTGAATTTCCACAAAACGTCTGAAATTTAAGTTCTGACCAGCCTGAAAGAATGTTCTGGAAATATCTAAGACCTACCATATTACTCTAAGTGACAAACCAGAGTTTTCAGGTGTTAACTGTATCATTCCCCCCGCAGAGAGGGAGTGATATTTGCTAGTTTGCATTACCTGTGTCTTTCCCAGCAGCGTGTATGCCGTTTGTACCTTCTCATAGTGTTTGACATCAAAGTTGATACAGGTCTTGGCTAGGGCCTGGTCAAGCTGCTCCTGTTCATGTAAGAAAACGTATCATTTGATGAATGTTAATCTAGACACCAAACACGCACCCACTGGGCCTAAGTCCTCTTGATCCTACACCCAGGATATTCTGTGCAATGCCCATGTGCACGCCAACTAAATGGTATCTACATGACATCTGTCACAACAAAATGAGCTAAGCATTGAGATATGTGTATTTTTAGATTCAGCAAAACCTTTCCAGGGATACTGAGTTCAGTAGTGGAAGTACTTTTTTGCAGATCAGCAATTGTATACTTTATTTAAGTTCAATAATCGTGGCTAGCCCTCCTCGCTTAAACCACTCATGAAGAAAACTGAGTGCTTAATTTCACATAGCCACTAGCAGAAACTATTACTTAGTGTGTTTCCAGCAAACCTAAGTTAAGAACCATTCACAAGCAATATGAACAACATAGTAACCTGGCTGAAAACTGTCAAAGGAAAACGTTCTGATGTTCAAAATAGTTTTGTTTTGTAGGTGTATAAAAAAGGTAGCATGACTTTTACAAGATTAAGGTGCATCTCTTACCTCTATCATTTCTAATGTGTCTTGAAGCTTGGAACTCAGCTCACTGTAGCACAGGAGACAAAGAATACAGATAGAGCAATCACTTGACAAGTATTTGATTAACTGATTCATTCATTTGACTTCACTATCCGCTATTCACATTGTGTAAAATCTGCCAAATAAATATGGATTATCTACACATGTATACAGCACAACTAGTTTGCCAGTATCAACATTTACAAAACCAAAGATCTGAAAACTGATCCATACTAATGGAAATATGGCTATGAATCGGTTATAAGTTTTGAAAAAATAGTTGAAGACTTGACAGGATGCTTTTTTACGTGATGCATTTGTAGTGTCTGAATGTACTAGCAGCCTTCTGACATTCCAAGCAGAGTTGAATGGCTCCAGGATAGTCTTCCTCCTACAACACAAGATTGAATGAACAAACTGGATAACAATCCAACACACATGTAGCACATGAGTAAATCTAAATCATACAAGGAAACCACAGGCATCCCGCAGGGATAAGGCACTGATAATATTCATCAAAAGTTGCATCTAATAGTGACAGCTCCTGTGTTTTCACTCAGCATGAACAATAAACCCACCACAATGCAATGCTAAACTCCCCTCATCTCCTTCCTAAAATGTTCTCTTTTTTGCTTGGTCCACATAGTGCTTAACAATATATTTAATTCACATCACAGTTTAATTAATAATCCTACAGTTTTTAACATCACACTCTTTTAACATCTTCAGATTTTTGGCCGTGGACTTCGTTGAAGAGTGAAGTAACCATGAGAGTTGTTGTCAAGCTACCACTAGAATACTAACCTCTAACATTTCTCGTAACCTGATGTCTGTTTGTTGCTGTTTGGAGAAAAGAGAGGAGGTAAAGAAATTAATAAAAAAAACTCAAACAACAACAGAAACAAAAGCCAACATGGATACATCATATACTGCAGTGTATCATGGAAAAAGTCAGCATCCATTTGTAAATGTAGCAAATGGCATTCTTTTTACACTAGGCATCAACTCAACTTGATTTATGGATGCACCTGTTCATTTTTATCTCGGAGGTTTCGGAATATATTTTTATGGTAGCACAATAACAATGAAATAATGATAAACTGCATGGCACTATGTGTAGGAAGTTGACTATTAAGTTGAAAAGTGGCCTCTTTAAGGCTAAAACTCCTTCAAATCACTGTCAGTTTGAATCACTCTTAATAGATCAATGACAAATCATGACATCAACTCAAAGAAGTCACCTCAATGTTCACCTATAACAGCTATGTACATTCCTACAAACTTTGTTCCCAATCTGACTTGTGCCCTGAGATATAACACTTAGAAACTGCAGTTTAATATCACAATGGGCAGAGTATACTGTCCAAAAAGCTGACTTTCTCCGTTTCTTTTCAGATTTTCACAAAGTCACAAAAGAGATTTGTTACATGGTGCAAACTTTATGTTACAACTCATTATGTCATCATGATGTTATACTTCGCATTATGCTTATGGTTTCATAAAAAAAACCAAGAAATGTTTCGGTAGTTTCTTAAAAACCTAACAAGAATATCCCTTCTGCATGCAAGTTGAACTTCTATTGACATTTTATAAATTCAACATTAATGTGAATCCTTGAGATGGCTACCTACCAGTGTTTTGATTGTATGTAAACTCTTCATCAAGCTGAGAAGCTGCTGTCGTCTCCTGTAGTTGGCAAGAATGCTCAGGCTAGCCACCGTGAAGCCTTGTTTGGCCATAGCCAGTTGTCTAGGCAATAACACACACATGTCACTGTAAGATCACCCCAATCCTGTCCATATATTTCACCAGTAGTCTGCACCTCTTGAACTGAATTGATTAGTGGGTTCATTTTTGTGAGGTGGTAGACACTGCATTGGGCAACATGTTTAATTCCCAGGCACAAGACCATTTGACGTTTACTTCCGGGATTACAATTAAAATTGCATTGATAAATGAATACAACTTGAAAATGGAAGCACAGTAATACTTCTTCAGGAAATGTTCAATGAGTAATACTAAACTCAAAAAAATGTCACGATGATGTTATCGCCAACAAGGGTGCCCTCTTGCGGCACATCAATAAAGTAAACAAATATATTTAATTTTATAAACCATTTAACTATCACTGGTTGAATGATTTGCATATAGTCTGCATGAACAGTGTACACTGGTCCCTATCACACATAAGGCTTCCATTTCAGATTAAAAAGTTGAACAATAACCTACTGGGGAGGGATCTTTTGAGGAATATCTAGCCTAGTGCTGACAAAACAATGATCAAGTTGTGGATACCTTCTCCCATTTGTACAGATGATGTTGGCTGTCTGTAAGCTAGCCTGTAGGTCAGTGACTCGCTGAAGCTCCTGTCAAACAAACACAAGAATTACATTCACTATCCATGGAACCAGTGATATCAATTGACTTGCAGCAGTAAAGACGTCAAACCTTTGGCAATGAAGGGTTAACAATGACAGCATTTTCCATGAAGTGTGCATTTTTATGATCAAAGCATAAGACCATTAGGCCATTACTTCAGTACCAACAATTGCTGTGCACAGCATGGAACCTACTCCCAAGGGCTTTTTTGATAAATTGTGTCAACTCGTTCAAGTTGATGACCAGGTTACTACAGAGTGAGCTGTTTTATTTATTTCATTTTATCTTCAAGCAAATTTGAATCTTCAAATCCTGATTGGTCAAGCCTGAAGCCATGGCAACAACAGTGTGGTATTATTCTGTATCTCAGGGTCTATATTACACAGTGTGTATCACATATAATTCTATGTGGTACATCTTTTCCTTCTGCTGGCCCTTGACTAGCGCAGCACATGCATGGAGGCGCAAGAGGACAATTCCAAAGGACTTTCTTACCCTGCTGTATGAAGACTGATTTTCCAACACGACATCAGAAACCTTCTTTGAAACCTGACCCCCCCAAAAAGATAAAGTTAAAGCATGATTATATTTTCTACAAATGTTCTCACCTTGTATCAATTTGGGTTGGCAGTGGAGCCAAGGAAGCAGGGACACAATTTCAAAAAGGGTGGGATTTATTTTCCCCTGCACGGGGGATTTGTTTAGGGGACTAACTGTGCAGTGACAGACATGCTTGTCTTGTCTCATTGCCACTTTCTTGAGCGTTCGTAGTTCAATACAGTTTGATGTACATGTACATCTTTTTATAGAGTCTGTGTCCTGGCCTCATCTTGTCACTCCAATTGTTCTTCTGTCTTACAATCCCAAGACCGTATCCTTACTCAATTCAACAAATCTGCCTTTTAAAGTCAGTTTTACTGGTGCTGCTGTGGTCATACTATATACATGTAGTAAATATTCAAGGAAGTAGAAAACACAAGGATCTGTTTGTCATACACAGTACTTGGTGGGTTGAGACCAAGTTGAGGGGTGGGTTGAGGACTAAGAGTTTGGAGGACTGAGAGTTCCTTCACACAAGGACCAAGATGCCTGATAGTGAGAGGACCAAGCAGGCTGATGACTGAGAGGTCTGAAAAGTAACAGACCTGAGATAGGAGTTTCAAGAACTAAGAGAAATGATGAGAGGCCTGAAGACTAAGAAGTTTTAAGGATAGAGATTATGTGGATTAAGAAGTCAAAGGACCAAGAGGTGTAAGGACTGAAAGGTGAGAGGTCTGAAAAATAACAGACCCGAGACCTAGAAGTTCCAAGCAGTCTAAGGACTAAGAGAAATTATAAGAGATCTGAGGACTGAGAAGTCTGATGATAGGATTAAGAGGTCTAAGAACCAAGAGGTGTTAAGGATGAGGTCTAAAGGTCGGGATTACTAAGAGGTCTAGGGAGTGATGAGAGGGCTGGGAACTTCAAGGTCTGAAGACAAGATGTTTCAGAAATCAAAGGTGTGATGACTAATTGGTCCGAGGACTAAAGGACTGAAGGTCTAGAAGGTCTTAGGACTGAAAGTGATGAGAAGTGAGTGGTACGAGGACTCACCGCCTGGCGTTGTCTCCTCAGGCGGTCTCTATCAGCAGTCAGCTTGCCCAACTCAATTTTCTCCAACTCAGGCATCTTGAGGAGTTCAAACTCACTTCCATCAAAATCCTCATCATTAAAGTAGTCCTTCTCAATGCTGTCAATAATCTGGGTTGCAAGTCACAGATCAAAACTTCAACACACTTTTTTTATCACCAGAACTGGAAATGATTAGGAATGTTAAAGATATAGTCCATCATTTGTAATTTGTGCATTTTGTTCGTTTGAAGCAACAAAAGTGTTCAAAATCTAATGAAGGATACTGAACAAACCTGATGAAGTTTCAGCTCAGCTTCAGCTGTATATTCCGAGAAAAACAGCATTCTAGGATCTCAATTTCAAATCAAAAGTTGCTGAAGATTCATGTTTTGAATTGTTTTGAATTGCAGCTATACGCGATGTCGCGCACTGATCCGACGAATTATAGCAACAAAAGGAACTACTAATTTAAATTTTCCTACGGTGCGTCTTAAGAGGCACCGTTGGAAAGGCCTTCTTTCGTTGATTACTTCAAAATGACAGCTTGCCAGAAAGAATAATTTCACAGGGAGTTTAGTCCACTTACTACCTTTCAACCAAGTACGTTTTTCAACAATAATACGCCAGTTACTTTTTCGGATGGCTGCAAATGATGGACTATAGCTTTAAGCATTCTCAAGATATGCCAGTTTTTGCAATTTAGGTACTTTGTTTTAGTGTAAAGCTGTTTGATGTTTATAATTATACACATGCAGATGTAGTCTGCCCATTATTGTAGAACAAAACATCAAAATTGAAAATTCCAGATAAGAAAACAATTATGAGATTTTAATTTTTTCTAAAATTTCATTGGATAAAACTTGAGACAATGTTCACAACTTTAATGCTAACATGAGAGCAGACTACATTTCTACTTTTTGAGTTTTCATCCCACTGAATGAGAAAACTGATTTCAAATTTGCACAGTGGAAATCTCAAAACGTAAGACAACAAACTCCAAACTGATAATGACACATTACTGAACGTGCAGACCATATCATATCAAGACATCAAAACTGCTGCATACTCACCTCTGCTTCGGCTGCAGGATCATTGGAAAATTCTCTTGCTTCACTCTGTGAGATCAAAAGTATAATGTGGGAAAAAATGGTAAATTTGGACAATAAATGATAAATGGTGATGTATGGAATGCAAAAGACTCACATGTCAGGAACTCTGTGCCTACATGCAGGAATTAAAGCAACCAAATGTAAAATACATAATTGAGACCTCTTCTGTCAAAATCAGACTTTTCTGGGCACAAGGTTGAAAATGAGATTTTTGCATATTGTTAAAAAATGTACATTTTCCTTTTAATAGGTGGTTTAATTTTTGAAACCTGTAATTCCTTGGCAAACTGATATACCTTAACAAATCATCAAAAATACTATATTTAGCATGTTTATAGTTTAAATTAGGGTTTCAAGCTTTTATAGTTTATTTTAGACATGTTCAGGATTACAAATATGCAAAAATTAGAAAAAATCGGCCCCACAGCGTTTTTTGGCCCTATCTCAATTTCAACCTCTGCCCAGAAACGTCTGCTTTTGACAGAACAGGCCACAATTATGGAATATCTACATATACATGTAATACTATTTCCATTGTGAAACCATTGCTCATCAGTTTTATTCCTCTCATAAGGCTCAGGTTTCAGGTAGAAATCGGTTAGATTACAAAGCTTATCACACTTGCAGCTCAAAATGTTGAATACTAACACTTCAAGACAGGATATGTGACAGGCTCATGAGATGAGAACACGGGGGCTCTGGTTAATGTTCAAGACTCTGGCAGTATTCAAATGTACATGCTTACACTCACTGGCAGACTCCTGGACATGATATGACCTGAATCAATGACTGGACAGCTATCACTGTATGCTCTAACCTAATACAGGGAGGTCATCCTACACAAGATTGTCTGTGCTCGCCCCATTACCAGTTACTGCAAGTGCTGTATACATGTAGGCTAGTCTGCCTTGAGAAAGATCACAAACATGAATCCACACAAGTGCATACATGTGTACATGTACCTTATAACGTATGGGTTCTACAGGGCTGGGCGTTCTGGCTAGCTCATCTGTTGGACTTTTGTCATCCTTACTCCCACTGCCCTGGATTTTACATCAAAACAAACAGAAACATATGCAAACTATAAAACATGACATGAAAGTAATCAGAGTAAGGTGCATTCTTTGTTTTTATAATTTCCATACATGGGTTATGATTTTCTGCAATGGTTGAAAACATATGTACATAATTACTATAAGATGGAATTTTTGCGTCTGGGTGATATAAATCCAATTAGGTTTTGCCCTTCACTGACGTTTAAACACTGTATACTCAGTGTGTTACCTCCCGAGTGAAAGTTGCAAAAAATCATTCGGGTGGGACTCGAACCCATGACCTCCTGCTTTCTAGTGCAGATGTCTTACCACTCAACCACCGAGCTAACGGGATCGGTTGGCTACTGAGGAGTTTGTCCAAAAAAGGCGCAAATTGTTTTACATATGGTTGTATTCTATGATGTCTCAGCTTCTTTCCTCCGGGTTGTTTAGTTGTCCTTATATCCAATTTGTTTTGAGAAATTTTGACATCTTTCTGGAGTTCATATGCACGTGAAAAACGTCTGTGGAGGGCAGCCATTTCGAATGTAAGAAGCGTGACCACAAAGCTGTGACGTCGCGTTTATGCAAACCGTCTTGTCGATCCAGTGCGCAAGTTGCAATGCGACGGCTGTTTCTTGTAAAATGGAATCGCACAGAGTGTATGCTTGCATGCTATTATACTATCGGTTGAGAGATTGTACAAGAAACAGCCGTCGCATTGCAACGTGTGCACCGGATCGACAAGATGATTTGCATAAACGCGACGTCACAGCTTTGGGGTCACGCTTCTTACATTCAAAATATCATTGGATATAAGGACAACTAAACAACCCGGAGGAAAGAAGCTGAGACATCATTACAACCATATGTAAAACATTTTGCGCCTTTTTTTGGACAAACTCTTTGGGGAACCTGGCATGTGGCTAGTCCCAGTGACTTGGACCCAACTTATTGCCTTTTTAACATTCGGACACGGTCTGGCGGCAGTAGGGCACAAGCTAATCCGTATGCAAGTCATATCCTTGACCCCAAAACCCAACATTGCCCAAAAAACATCAGATTTCACCTTCAAAGTTCAATTCCGAGAGCTCCCCTCGCGATCGTGAACACGTTAAATTTCCGACTGTGTTAATGTTTGAACGATGCAAAGTGGTCTTCATGCCCAGCTATGCCTACATTCGATGGTCCCCTGTATCCCGAGTGTGATTCTGTTACTGAGCGCGATTATGATAATGAGAAGACTGGATCATGTTTGTAAACACAAGTGCATTTCAAACGGTCGGTAGAAGAGAGTCGGGAACTAGCTTGAACTGGTTTCTGCCCATAAAAGCTGCCCTAGTTCCCGACTTCCTATTATCGTTCGAAATGTACGTTGGGCATGAAGACCACAATCAAACATTAACACGAGTCGGAAATTTAACGTGTTCACGATCGCAAGGGAAGCTCTTGGAATTGGATGTTTTTGTTGGGCAATGTTGGGTTTTTGGGTCAGGGACAAAATTGTGTTGCTTGGCATATCGGATTAGCTTGGACCCTACTATCGCCAGACCATGTCCGAATATTAAAAAGGTGATAAGTTGGGTCTAAGTTACTCGGACTAGTATGTGGCCAGAGGTACAGCGCAGCAAAACCAAGGCCACACTGTCTCTACTCTAGTAGGGCTAGCCGGGTAATAGTCCCATAAATGTGACTGAAATACTGGACTACCTCCGTATATTAGTCACAGAGCCACATACGGCCTGTGAGCGGAGCGTCCCGTTGCTAGGGGGAGCCGAAAATTAATTAAAGATCGAAATTATTTTGTCAGCAGAAAATCAACCCAGCTATAGTACAGCATGACTGCTAAATAGTAAATAGCACAAAATCGTTAAAATCGGTAAAAAGCAAGACAACGAGAATGCTCTCCACGGCAACGCACCAGATGAAAATTGAACTCACTTGCGGCGCCTGAAAGCGGTGTGGTACCCACACACATCGCGCGCGCAGATTTTTTTATGTCATCACGTGATGCATACATTAACATAATTAGCAAAACAAAATGGACGACAGCCGTTGGAACTGGCGTATTTTTACGGACAAGCCACTGAAATCGTCAAGATTTTTCACTTTTTTTTTGTGGTCTTGTTTCAAGTCGATCATTAGGCTTCGTAAATGACTGCTGAATGTATGAGGTATGTGGGTGAACTCTGGGGTGGGATATTAGAGGTGAAAATGAACCATTTTTGGGAGAGGCCATTTTTTTAGGGTCTCTTGCTACCACATGGAAACGAACAGGCCTTCCTCCAGCGTTACATGTGAATGAATATGGAGCATGTCAGCTGGAGTTACTCAAGCTAGGACTAGTACCAAGTTCATGAATCTTCATCGTGGATCGTTTTTTACTTCAAGGACCTGTGTAATGGTTATTCCAGGCAAGTTTGGGGTGAGTTGCAGTTGCAATTAGTGTGTAACGGGGACAAAATTGAACATTTTCCAAAAATGTTTGCCTATACTATCGTTTACGAGAAAAACTAGCTCCAGCCTTAAATGACAACCCAATGATAAAACTCAGGGCTGGGTAACTCCAGCTAGGACTAGCTGGGTAATTACCACATTAAGCAATCTCTAATCAAATGTCCTACTTCTTTATCAAACATGTTGAGGGAAGTTGTTTGTTTTCCCAGATTTTTCTTCTTGACCTTATATGCTGTTGCTGAGGGTAGGATGATGATTGTAATAATTTCAAGCGACAACAAAAAAAATGGACAAGACCCACGCCCATCACACGACGTACACTGTACACTAGTATACTACTGCATGCATGCAATGCAATGGACTGCAAAATGAAGATCACCAATCACAAACTATCCCCTGCAAAATAAACATGGTGCCATATTAATTTACCTGACGAGTGATGAGAGTCTTGAATTTTCTCATTTGAATCATTGTTCATCACCAAACAAGCCAAAGACATGAACGATGAACTGCTGTGCTGAGTGACAGGATTTTTTCCAAGCAAGAAATCTACTCCGGATAGGCGATGAAGGGCGCCACCAACCAAACTAGTTTCAGCAAACGAACTCCTGAGGGCGCATCTCGGCACACGTGCGCATGTGGCATGTGTGGTGTGCATGGTATGCGCAGAGCTAGCTAGAGAGCCGTACGCGCGTGGCGTGGGTTACCGTCACCCGCTGTACCGTACTGCATTGCTAGCTCCCTGTGTTCAATTTTTGTCCGTCATTCATGGTGTACGTATTTTACAAAATATCAATACATGTATCCTGCATGATCAGGAGTAATTGCAGAATACTACTCCTTGTTCTGTTCTCACACGTACTATTAAGTGACTTTAATGACAAACAAACCAGGCAATTTGTGCACAAAGTACCTTACTCTAGTAGTATCAATCATGGACCAGTTACAATAAACAGTGATAAATTTGATTTCTCCTTATTTCATATCGAGAATGTAGTGATTATTTTAATGCCCTGCGGCGAAGCCATAGGGGCACCCGCATACTGTTTCCGCCTTGTCCTTCCGTGGGTGTGTGCGTGTCCGGAAAATCTTGTCAGCATGATAACTTGAGTTTACATACATGTATGAACTTCAAATTTGGTTTGTGGGTTGCACTTGGTATTCCCAAGAAGCCTATTGCATTTGGGGCCGATAGGTCAAATGTCAAGGCCACAATGGCTAAAACAATATAAATCTTGTCAGCGCGATAACTTGCATGACTTGAGAAATACTTTACATATCAACTTCAATTCTGTTTGTGGATTGCACTTGGTAATCCTAAGAAGCCTATTGCAATTGGTGCCGAAAGGTCAAAGGTCAAGGTCACAGTGGCTAAAACAATAGAAATCTCGTCAGCGCATTAACTTGAAAAATACTTAACATATGAATTTCAAATTTGGTTTGTCATGTTTGTGGATTGCTCTTGGTAAACCTAAGAAGCCTATTGCATTTGGGGCCGAAAGGTCAAAGGTCAAGGTCACAGTGGCTAAAACAATAGAAATCTTGTTTAGTATAAAATTGAAAAGTGAGTTTTATTTTGTTTTATGTACATACATGACATATGCGTTTTTTTTTCAATTCAGCAAACAAAAATATATTATAATATATTTATTCTGCGATCATAGGGATTAATTGATGTTACCTACATGTACAGAAAATAATAACGATGTCCATGAACATTCCATGTGACCCAGGTACATGTACATATAAGTTGATGTTAAAAGGTACTCCTAGAACTATGAGGCTCCACTACGTGGAGCCTCATAGTTCTAGGAGTAGTTAAAAGGGTGGTGTCATGTCATGGGAACAGTCACGGTGAGGCATTTGTGTTTGTAAACACACCTGACTTGTTTCATTGTTGCACTGGTAATTTGGCATATTTTTTTAAAAATAATTTTTAAAATGAGAATGTCATGAGCCTTAGACTATTCACAAGGGCTGGGTTTTTCAAGCTGGCATTGAAGCATTGGGACGGGTTTCAGACACGACTAGACCCGTAAACATGGCATTAATAACAATGCCACTTGGCACTTCTCCACAAATGGCATTCAAAACCTTTTTGTCATTGTCTGAGAAGTAACAGTAATTTAAGTTACCTGAGAAGTAATCTGAGAAATTACTAAGTAATATTTGGACCCAAACCTAATTTGTTTCTGACCTAGTGGTCCGGTACTCAGGTACCTGGTTCTGGTGCACACCCCTGACACTGTGGTTATTTAGACCCAGTAACTGGGAAGTTAAGTAGGCCACATGTTAGAATTCATTCCAGTGCCCCAGTTACTGGGTCTAGTGATGATTAAAGTCCTTATCCAAAGTGCTAGTCCTCCACATGTCCACACACAAAAAGTTGCTGAAAACAGGATTTTTTCACCTGCATTATTTTGCGGGATATGCTGCAAACTTGGGCAGCTTTAGGACAAAGAGGCATTTTTCACCAAAAGTAAAAATCAGGGAGTTCAATTTTTGTTAAAAAGTAGTAGTAGGGGAGGTGGGGGAACCGGAGCAAAATGGAAAAAATCTGCGGCAAGCCTGAGCACGCCGCTCTCGATTCTAAAAATAGTTGGGGAAAAATATAGGGGAATCCCCCGATCTCAAAAAAAAAAATCTGACGCCGGGTGTGGGGGAGGAAAAAAAAAAAAAAAAAAAAAAAAAAAACTGACGCCGGGTGTGAGAGAAAAAAAAAAAAAAAAAAAAATCTGACGCCGGGAGAGAGAGAGAGAGAGCAAAAAAAAAAAAAAAAAAAAAAAAAAAAATCTGACGTCGGGAGAGAGAGAGAGAGAGAGAAAAAAAAAAAAAATATCTGACGCTGGGAGAAAAAAAAAAAAAAAAAAAAAAAAAAAAAAAAAAAAAATCTGACGCCGAGAGAGAGAGAGAAAAAAAAAAAAAAATCTGTCATCGCTAAAATGAGGTGATGTCACCACCACGTGACCTTGAAAAATATGTGAGTCACCACCACGTGACCTTGAAACGTGTTGAGGCACGATAGAAATTTGGCGTAAACAACGCAACCTTGAAAAATGTGTGAGTCACCACCACGTGACCTTGAAACGTGTGTGAGTCACCACAACGTGACCTTGAAACTCGAGACAAAAAAAATTAGCTCCTTACCCTGTAAAAGGTGAGGAGCTGTTTTTTAATATAAAAATGGAGAGTAATATGTTTAGACCGACGAGTATTTGAAAAATGAATAAAAAATAATATCGGTTTTTATTAAATAGATGGAATACTTTGGGACGTCACAACTTGGGGATAAGTGCGATCATCATATAATCATCGAGAATGGTTTTTTAATTTGTGAAACGTGCGGTGAAATAGTTTCACGTTATTTTGATTTTTCGGCAGAAAATGTGCAAGAAGATCGTATCAATTGGTCAACTTTAAAGAGAAACAAAAGAAAAACTGTGGAGAAACTTATTTTGTCTGTTTGTCCAGAGCAAGACTCAGAAGATGTCCAAGAAACAATCAATAAATATAACGAGCTCGTTAATTACAAAACATTGAGGGGAAATGGTTGCGTCAAACGGTCATTAATAGCGGCGTGTTATCATCACGTCGTTGGATTAGACAAAGAACGAGTTAGAGATTTATTTAAAGTGACTCAAAATCAATTTAATAAAGCACTAAAAATATACGATGACCACTACAATAAAGGCGGGGCCGAGGGTAACACCCTAAGAGGTGAAATAGAGGTATAACTCGGCGGATCGCTTTCATAATGTTTATTTACCGAGAATTTGAACTTGTAAGTTTTTCGATAAGAGATTTTTTTTCTTTTGCCAGCCGTTCGTCTACCCGTTTTTTAACTTCTTTTTCAAAGTCTGTATCGTTTTTAATCTTTTGAAGCTTTGTGCTGGTCTTTGTTCTAATTTTCTGCTTAAGCTCGTTAAATTTGGCGAGCTCTCTCGTAATCAATAAGAACTCTTCGTGTGATATATCTCCGTCGTTGATGGCTTGAGATACGTATTCTTCAATCGTGTTAAGTTTGGAGTCTGCTAATATCTTAATCTGGTCGTGCTTTTTTAGCTTGGCGGATAATCGCCTAGACGCGATTCTAAGCAGAATATCTACACCAAAAGCGCCTATAAACGTTCCTTCTAGCACCAATCCAACGGGGGTTGATATAACACCCAAGAGAGCGGGAATACCGACAGCCCCCGCTATAGTCCCCAATCCTCCTAATCCTATCTCTACGTAATTAATAGTGTCGATCACTCTCTTTATTTTTTTATAAGTGCGCTCTCGGTGGTCTCTCTCTTTTAAGATTAAAGATCGAATCTCTTCAATCTTTTTAAGTCTGTACACTTTTGTTTCTTCGTTACTATTTAATCGGAGTACATCTCCAGAAATATCGGGGTATAACACCTTACCATCTACACTCATGTTTTTAATATAAAAAGATTTTAAAATTAAAAGATCTCCAACTCTATCATGATACTCACACCCTTGTTGTTGATGATCTGTCCTTTTTCACCAATGATTGAAAATGTCAGTTTGTCGATTATACCGTTTTTAAGTTTCTTGAAATCCTCGACTCTATCAGGCTCGGGTTCGCGCGTACCCACGGGTACGATTTTCAAGATGTCAGACGGACGACCATCAAAAAAGTTTTCACTCGTACTTAATTGCGGGCAGCGAATAAACAAAAATTTAAACGGATTAACGTCGTAAGACCCCACATACACCACTTTGGGTATCAGTCTTCCTTTGGGTAAATTGAGTAATCGAGATACTTCTCTGTTTAAGCGCAATTTGAGATTGACGTCGGTTACCACCAACGTCACCTTTTTAGATTCTCTTAATATTCGAAAACTTACCCCGGGTATATAATTTAAAATGAAATCGAACCAATCGACATCGTACCACCCCGGTGCTATGATGACCGAACCGGTGACTCCGAGTGGCAACGGCTCTAAATGACTCGGAGGAATAAAATCTAAATCCTCACCCGTCACGATAAGACTTCCCCTTATAATTACCCCTGCTTCCCTACTATCTCTCAACTCGCTCAACTCGCTCGCACCCATTTCTCCTTCAATAAACTTTGAAGCCAATTCCTCACCTTCAAAGATTTTTCTTTCTCTAACATATAATAATCTTACTAAAGATTGAAGCGTATTAAGTTCTAATTCAGTTTTTGGTATTTCTGAAGACATGGCGGCTAAAATCAACCCTCGCCGTTCAGCTATAATAGCTCTTTTTCTTTTGTTTGATTCTAAAACGGATTCTAGTCTATCGTCTTCGTACGCTTTTATAAGATCGTTTATAGTTTTTTGTAAAACATTTTCATCGTTAATTAAAAAGTGGTATGGTATATCGGGTAACAATCGCTCTATAAAATCTCTATCCGGCGTTCTTATGTGTACATCTGAAAGAAACTCCGCGGGTATGGGGGGAGGTTTATCTGTGGTAAATGCGGGTCTCCCATCTATTTGCGTAAACCAATCAATCTCCGTGGCGCTGGAAATATTAAAATATCCGGCGTTAAACAACACCCTTTTTACGCGTATAGATTTTTGACCGTTTAAATTATCTACGACGTCTTCTAATTTAAACGTCTGCTCATTTTGAAACAAGTGAAACGAATGCATTTATTTTAAAGTCTTTTTATATTAAAACTGAAACTAAAATAATGAGTGATTTTAAGTCGTTAAAAAAGCAGATACAATCGATAGCCGATCAGGTAACGAGACAAGTAAATCAAAATGTAGCTAAACGACAAGCTACCACCCCAGCGCATGTACTAGACAGTCCGTATCTCACTGGCGAACTCGAGATTACAGTCAACGCGTCTAACACGTTTTTAACCCCGTTTCCCGACT